CCAGAATGACGATCAAATGAATATCCAGGGTTGTATTTCAGCTTTTGAAGCAAACGACTTGTCAGAAAATGACTGTAAATAGATGAATACAGATATAATTTATCATTTAGAAACTTTTTGTTCTTAAGAAACTTTATTGAATAAGCATTAAATGTTGAATATGCAAAAGTAAGCAAAAGTAGCATTTTGGAGTCTAGTTTACAGTATTTAAACTAAATCTACACTCTATTGAATGAAATTCCGAAATAACAGCAGTTATTAAAATGTCAACTGTACTGAACTGTAGTGTATGAATTCATTTTTTCTGAACTGAAAGTGTGGGGTGTTTTTTTTTTGCGGATCAGTTGTGAGTTAGCAGCTCACTCTCGGCCGCGGAGCTTCAGAACAGGAAACGGCGTCCATGTGCAACTGCTGCAGGAAAAGAAACCATTTCCTTAGCTGAGCAGCTCAGACATGATTCACTTCTCCTCATCCTGCACTTTCTACTCTAAAGTAGTAGTAAACTCAGGATGTTGGTGGGTTTTATGCATCAAAAGTGGTCATAATTCAGTTTTTCACTACCATTTTACAATCTGTCCTTATCTCACAATTAAACAGGCTGCATCTGTTACTGTGCCTTTAACGCTGATATACAGCACTGAGCAGCACCTGAGCACATTAATCTTGAGAACAGGTTTGTTTTCCCTTTTAAAGTCAACAAACACCGATCAGGCATAACATTATGACCACCTCCTTGTTTCTACGCTCATTGTCCATTTTATCAGCTCCACTTACTATATAGGTGCAATTTAACACTGACGTGGTGGTGGTGTGTTAGTGTGTGTTGTGCTGGTCTGAGTGGATCAGACACAGCAGTGCTGCTGGAGTTTTTAAACACCTCCGTGTCACTGCTGGACTGAGAATAGTCCACCAACCAAAAATATCCAGCCAACAGCGTCCTGTGGGCAGCGTCCTGTGACCACTGATGAAGGACTAGAGGATGACCAACACAAACTGTGCAGCAGCAGATGAGCTATCGTCTCTGACTTTACATCTACAAGGTGGACTGACAAGGTAGGAGCGTCTAATAGAGTGGACAGTGAGTGGACACAGTGTTTAAAAACTCCAGCAGCACTGCTGTGTCTGATCCACTCGTACCAGCACAACACACACTAACACACCACCACCACGTCAGTGTTACTGCAGTGCTGAGAATGATCCACCACCCAAATCGTACCTGCTCTGTGAGGGTCCATGGGGGTTCTGACCACTGAAGAACAGGGTAAAAGGGGGCTAACAAAGTATCAGAGAAACAGATGGACTACAGTCTGTAGCTGCAGAACTACAAAGTGCTCCTATATGGTCAGTGGAGCTGATAAAGTGGACAATGAGTGTAGAAACAAGGAGCTGATCAGTGTATATATGTATAATATATTGGATGTGAGGTCAATTTTTGACCTTTATGCACCCCAAACATCCAAAATTCATTTTTACATTACCATTTTCCAACCTCTCTTTATCTCTTATAAATAAACAGGCTGTTTTTCTTACTGTGTTACTGACGTTTTTGACACCGGACACAAACAAACAAGGTAAATAAAGGTTCATTTTGATGTCAGGTGGACTTTAAGCCTCACAAGAATGCAGGCCTTTTCTGATATTTTCCAGATTTATAGCCATTTATTTGGAAACCATTAGCTGGCATCAGCTAATGGAGGCCTTTACACAGCTTTTGTAACCCCCCGCCCCCCTAAACACCGTCTGTCCAATCATAGCTTAGAAACCCAAACTAGGTCTGTACGCAAGCTTTGAGAGGCTAAATCCCAAATTGCTCCTTCCTCCCTACATTGTGCGCTACATAAGTCAGGAAAGCACACCTAATTAGTGCCCTACCTGTTAAATATGAAGTCGTGCAGCCTATGGTTCAATCCCAAATGGCTCTTTATTAGACATATAATGCACTTTTTGAGTGTTCGTGGTTATCTAATGACCTACATAGTGCACTGCGTAGGGAGTAGGGAGCCATTTGGGACTTGGCCGACATGGCGCAGCAGTGTGTTGTCCACCAAGGGGCGCCGGAGCGCTGAGTCAGTGAGTCTTGGTGCATTTTTCAAAATCTTCTCCAGTCTTTTTCGCCCACTTTCTAAAGCTGAGATCTGGACAGTGATCGTACACTGTTAATAAAGGTTCTGTTCAGGTACATTTCTCGTTCATCAAGGTACAAGCAGTGTAAATGTTCCCTCAAAGGTACAACAGTGGTTTTAAGGTCTGATTGTGATCCTTAAATAAGTTTTTCCAGGTGAAAAGTTTGTATTTGTACCTTTTCATAACCGAATGTTTTAAAACAGAACAGTAAAATAAAAGCCTGGAGACGAGACGGGGTGTGTGGAGTCAGTACAGCTTAGAACATATCATTTCAGTGGATTATGGTTCAGTTATGTTCCCTGACTAAAGGTACTGAGATGGACCCTTGAGGGTCCCACCCCAGTGACAGGAGGGGTCCTGCCCCAGTGGCAGTTTAGTACATTTAGTGCATGTACGCTTACTGTACGTTTACTCAGTACCGTCTTTACCTGCAGCTGAAATTGGGTTCATATTCCAGCTTCTTATTCGAACTTTCCGTTCCACCTTAAATGGTGCAGCAGTTACATTCTCAGCAGTCACTGCTGCACCATTTAAGGTGGAACGGAAAGGTCGAAAAAGGAGGCAACTCAACATGAAATGAACCGATTGTTTACATTTTGAGCGTCTCAGGAGCTCATCTGCTGTTTATATTACACCTTCCTTCCACAGTCCCTTCTGTTCTACACACTGAAAAAAGATGGTTCTTCAAGGGTTCTTTAGCTATATAGAGCCATGAACACTCAAAGAATTATTTGCATGATTAAAGGGGTTCTTTGCATTGTGAAAGGGTTCTTCAGATTGCAGAATGCTGTAGATGATTCTATGTAGAACCTTTTTTTTAAAAAAAATGTTCTATATAGCCCCAAAAAGGGTTCTGGTATCGTTACGATGTCAAGTCTGTAACAATAGAAGAACCCTTTTTGGTGCTATATAGAACCATACACAACACATTCTCCATCAATCTGAAGAACCAGTTCACCATGCAAAGAAACATTTAATCATGCAAAGGGTTCTTTGAGTGTTCATGGTTCTATATAGAACCATTTGCATGCTTAAATGGTTCTTCAGATTGATGGAGAATGTGTTGTACATGGTTAAATGTCAAGCCTGTAACAACAGAAGAACCGTTTTCTGGTGCTACACAGAACCATTTAAAAAAAGATTCTATACAGAAACAAAGACAACACACTCCACCAATCTGAGGAACCTTTCATGAGGCAAAGAATCATTTGATCATGCAGTAGGTTCTTTGAGTGTCCATGGAACTATATAGAACCTTTTTCTTTACTATACAACCTTTGGAGAACCATAATTTTTAAGAGTGTAGTAATTAGGAACGTATACTTTTTAAAAAGATGGTCCTTCAAGGGTTCTTTACTAAAGAGCATTGTTCTATATAGAACCATGAGTTCTATATAGAACCATTTGCATGCTTAAGTTCTTCAGATTGATGGAGAATGTGTTGTAAATAGTTCAATATCAAGCCTGTAACAACAGAAGAACCTTTTTTGGTGCAATATAGAACCATATACAACACATTCTCCATCAATCTGAGGAACGCTTTCATGATGCAGAGAACCATTTAAGCGTGCAAAGGATTCTTTAAGTGTTCATGGTTCTATATAGCACCATTTTCTTTACTAAAGAACCCTTGACGAACCATCATTTTTAAGAGTGTAGTAATTAGGAACGTACACTCTTAAAAAACTCTTCAAGGGTTCTTTAGTAAAAAGAATAGTTCTATTTAAAACCAAGAGTTCTATGTAGCACAATTTGTATGCTTAAATGGTTCTTCAGATTGATGGAGAATGTATTGCAAATGGTTTGATCTCAAGCCTGTAACAGAAGAACCTTCTTCTGGTACTAGATAGAACCATTTAAAAAAAAAAAAGGTTCTATACAGAAAAATAGGCAACACATTCTCCATCAATCTGGGGAACGCTTTCATGATGCAAAGATTCATTAATCATGCAATAGGTTCTTTAAGTGTTCATGTATCTATATAGAACCTTTGGAGAACCATCATTTTTAAGATTAATCAGGAATGTATACTCTTAAAAAAAGTTGGTTCTTCAAGGGTTCTTTAGTAAAAAGAATGGAACCAGTTCTATATAGAACAATTTGTATGCTTAAATGGTTCTTCAGATAGATAGAGAATGTGTTGTAATTGGTTCCATGTCAAGCCCATAACTGAAGAACCTTCTTCTGGTGCTATATAGGACCCTTTTCAAATAGGTTCTGTACAGAACATACAACACATCCTCCACCAATCTGAAGAATGATTTCACCATGCAAAGAACCGTTTAAGTATGCAAAGGGTTCTTTGAGTGTTCATGGTTCTACACCAAACCACTGCCTTTACTAAAGAGCCTTTGAAGAACCGTCTTTTTAAGAGCGTAGCAATGAGGAATGTACACTCTTAAAAAAAGATGCTTAAATGGTTTTTGAGTCTGATGGCGAATGTGTTGTACATGGTTTGATATCAAGCCTGTAACAACAGAAGAACCTTTCTCTGGTGCTATATAGAACCATTTTCAAAAAGTGGTACTGAAGAACCATTTCAAGAAGTGGTACTGGTACTGAAGAACCATTTCACCATGCAAAGTACCATTTAAGCAAGCAATAGGTTCTTTGAGTGTTCATGGTTCGATACAGAACCACTGCCTTTACTAAAGAACCCTTCAAGAACCATCTTTTTAACACTTCGTGACACAAAAACAAAGCCCCCACGCTTGCTCTCCAGTTTTATGTAAGAAATCGTCGGCTGCCCTTGGCAAAAAAAAGCGATAATGTGGCACAAACATGATAAACACATTTAACACACACAGTGTGACAACTTTACATTCACGGCTTAATATTAGTATCAATATTCCAATAGGTTAAAGACATCCAAAAGAAAAGAGACAGAACCTTTTTTTATTCTGCACGACAAAATCGTTCAAGATTTACATTGACATAAATTATTTAAAAATGTTTATAACAAAAATAACAGTAAAAATAACTGCAAATATAAGTAACAGTTAATGGTTCTTTTTTTTTCCAGCACAAATGACAAAACTATACACTTCAGGTTTGTGTATGATAGTCGAAATGAGGTGACGGGATGAGGCGACCCAAAACCGAAAGGTGTAGCAATGAAGTCGTGACACGCATACTATAGAAATCGGTTTAAGTCTCTAAATAGTGACAGGCCAGTTCTGTTCAACATAAATTGTATGTTATGGATCAAAAAATTCAATAAGTAAATATATCTACTATTTTTTTCCTATACATTTGCACCATATATGATCAACAAGTGTGAGGACAAAAAGGTATAACTTGGTTGGAAATCGATAAAAAGAAAAAGAACCGTGATAAAAGTCTTACAGTTATTTCAGGTTTTGTAGAGTCTACTTGCAGTTCCTTTAAATAAAACCCACCTGGAGAAGGTCTGAGGTAAACAGTTGTCTTTTGGTGTTGGTCTCCGTTGAAATCTCGAAACGTTCACCCACCATGAGCGCTATTATTAATGAGTCGTATAAAATACCAGGACGATGCAACAATATAAAAAGACAGTCGTGTTTAAGGGCTGAACGTCGCTGTGCGTCTAAGTGTGAAAATTCAAATTCATCGGTATTCAAAATCATACAAACTCGTGGGAGGGGAGGGGGGAGTAGGTAAAATCATTTACAAATACATTACATTTCACGGACCAATGACAGATCGGCTGTGTTTGCCGGGCTCAGGAGGATGGCTTGGCCTGCGCGTCTGTGTCTGAGCTGGGCTCCTTAGGGAAGCAGGTCACCTCCACCATGCCGGCGCCTGTGCGTGGTACAGCTGTGTTCATTATGTGTCTCTGTAAATGCTTCACCCAGTCCTCCTGCACGGACAGAGGGCCCTGGAAGACTAGATCACAAAACCTGCAGAAAAACAGACAAAATAATGCCTCTGGTCAATCATTACCAGTATTAATGGATTAATGAGTTATTATTAGGACTCCACCGATATATACATACACCGATCAGGCATAACATTATGACCACCTCCTTGTTTCTACACTCATTGTCCATTTTATCAGCTCCACTTACTATATAGGAGCACTTTGTAGTTCTACAGTTACAGACTGTAGTCCATCTGTTTCTCTGCATACTTTGTTAGCCCCCTTTTACCCTGTTCTTCAGTGGTCAGGACCCCCATGGACCCTCACAGAGCAGGTACTATTTGGGTGGTGGGTCATTCTCAGCACTGCAGTAACACTGACGTGGTGGTGGTGTGTTAGTGTGTGTTGTGCTGGCACAAGTGGATCAGACACAGCAGTGCTGCTGGAGTTTTTAAACACCTCAGTGTCGCTGCTGGACTGAGAATAGTCCACCAACCAAAAATATCCAGCCAACAGCGTCCTGTGGGCAGCGTCCTGTGACCACTGATGAAGGACTAGAGGATGACCAACACAAACTGTGCAGCAGCAGATGAGCTATTGTCTCTGACTTTACATCTACAAGGTGGACTGACAAGGTAGGAGTGTCTAATAGAGTGGACAGTGAGTGGACACAGTATATATAAATAAACACAACTAATACTGAACAGATGTTTTTGAGCGTTGACTCAGGAGGAGAATAACTGTATTGGTCACACAATGTAACACACCAAAATATATAATATACACAGTACCTGCACGTGAGTCTGTATATTTCCTCTGAAGTGTGTAGCAATGGGTAAGTCTTTTTCTTTGATCTCTGCTTCCTCTGTTTACAGTCGTACGCTGGAAAAATAAGAAGAATTACTTACAGATGAACTAGATTCTCACATGCTCACTTAACTGCACTTAATCATATTAGCACATTACAAGTTTTCCAGGTAGGTATGTATTTATTAAAGACTTTTACTTTGAAGTAGGAGAGAGTATGCAAGATAATACAACTTTGGCAAGAGACGAACTGTTATTTACGTGTTTATCTCTGGCAGGCATTGTAACATTTTTTCCAAACCAGTCTTAAGCCATTTACCTGGTCAGGTGCAACATGACACAAAAACTAGATAATGTTGAAATGTTTATCTTTGAAAATGAGATATATTTTTATATATGTGTATAAATATACATTTATATATTTATATATATATATCTCAAATATTTACTGAGACTAAGGCCCAATCCCATTTCACCCCTCGCCCCTACCACTCAGCCCTACCCCTCTGTTTTGTGCGCTCACATCTAGGGGTAGGGTGTCCTGATTCTTGTTGAGATAGAGGGGTAGGGCGAAGTGTTGGGGCTACATGACCCTCCAAACGGAGGTTTTTCAGAGACTCCAAACAGAGAGTTATGAGAAAAAAGAAAAACCGGCAAGATGGAGAACAAGAGACCAAAGAAACACACAAATGTGAGAATTTTCTGTTAAAAAATATTATCTTAGTTTAATGTTGTTGTGAGGAGCTGAACTTTACCCTCCTCTGCTGTCACTGCAGACTGGCAGGGTCGTCTACAGAGCAGCGCTGGTAGCTGTTAATGAAGTGATGCTCTTTTTATTTGAGGGTCCCATTTCAGAGGGAAGATTTTAACCACTACCCCTTGTAACTCAGTTCCAAGGGGTAAGGAAACACTCGAAAACTAGGGGTTAGGGGTAAAAATAAGAGATGAGATTGGGCCTAAGTGTTTCTTAGAGAGCATACTTTTCGTTACAATCATTTTTACTGTGCATTTGCAGTAGGAACAGAGATAGAAAACAGACGCAAGTTCCTTGAATTCCTTTATGATGGTGGTTTTCAATTAGTGGGCTGCGGCCCCCCAGTGGGTCTTGGTGGTATTGCTAGAGGGCCATTGGATTATGTTACAATATATAGATATTTAACGAAAGAGTTTTTAATATGACAAATATTACTGTTGTAAAAGTTACTTTCAGAAATACAATATGTTTAGGTTGGGCTAATTGATTGGTCGGCCAAAATACGACTGATAGCTAAAAAGCTAACTAAGTATATGTTTTAGTGTAAATCAATGTAAAACGTTTCTGTTTTTGGACAGACATATGAGTACAATCCCAAATTTCTCTGATATTTTTATGTTGCGTGTTTATACAGAAATTCCATCGGCCACATTACTGCGTTACATTACTGTGTTATATTTGTTCGCATTTTAAACGATCTGGTCAGTTAAATCTTCTTGTGGGAAGTTTTTGTGCGTACTTTATCCATGTATTGTTGTTCACCAAGTTATTTTTAGAGCTTGGGCTACTTCTGATGACGGAAAGGGGGCATCTGTTCTGATCACACCCGTAAAATGGCCAATACTTGTTTGAAATAGGTTTGTCCAAACTGCCGTCAAGGTGACGTTAACCCAGAGCCTTGAAATTCAGCTTGCTTTTTTACAAATCTTTCGCAAAAAAGCCTCGCAAAAGTAGATTTCATTGTAAAGTGGCACATTTGAATCGCTATAATTCACAGATATCAAGAAAAACAGGACCTGCTCGTCCAAATAAACAGTCAATTATATTTCTAGCCTTCATTTTTCTTCCACGTATCTATCAATAGTAAGCCACTTACTTGTTCCTTCCATAAGTGCGTTTCTTTTTCTACGTGCGTATGCCCGCAAATGATTGGAGAGGCTAACTCCACTGTGGAAAGTTGTGTTACAGTGAGCACAGACTTTTCTGTTGTGTTCAATTTTCTCTGAAACAGAAAAAGAACAGCGATCAGCGGTTAGAACAACTGCCAAATACTTCTGTTCCATTAAGGAGTCTAACTTTTTGTCCCTGCTGTCTGTGCTCACAGTTTTTGCAATACCTAAAACGTCAACCTAAAAGTCCTGCTTGCTTGCTTTCTGTGAAGTTCACCTGATGAACATTATACAGGGAGATTCACTCGAAAGAGGCCCCTGAATATTCTGTAATAACTCTCTCTAGGATGAAGCAATCTGAACGAAACAACGTAACTTCCAGGTGCGTACCCCCGTACCCCTTCATGTGTCTGGCAGAAAACGTAATATTCGGGGCCTCTTTCGAGTGAATCTCCCTATACAAAACATTAATATTACAGAACAAACTCAACACAAGTACTCCAGAGTAACTCTAAGGACTGTGGTAATAACTACTTTAGCCAGTTTCAATAACAAACTACACTATTAGACTACGTTGGACAAGCTTTACAAATATTGGCAAAATGTCCATTAACCCTAATGAAGTTGTGTTGGGTTTAGATTTTTATCCTACCCACCCAGAGAGAGCGAAGCCAACTGTGCTCTCTTGGACTCAAGGATGGCTGTAGCATCACCAGGGATCAAACTTGCTTAGATGGTTACGCCACTCAGGATCCCCAGATTTCTGTATTTTGATAAACACTTTGTTCACTAGCTTCTCATTAGACTGAGATGTTTTTTTTAAAGAACTTTGGCAAAAACCTTCTCAGTCCAATGAGAAGCTAGTGAACAAAGTGTTTATCAAAATACAAAAATCTGGGGATCCTGAGTGAACGTGATTTAATGTGAACGAACGCAGCCTAAAGAATCTTTGTGGACGGAGAATGGAGTGGCTAACTGGATGCTTCCATAGTTCAGTTTACAGACTAACAGCGATGAGTTTGACTCGGGATGACCACAGGTACTCAAGTTCGAGGTGCCAGTATTCGAATACTGATTGGCTGCCTGTACTGTGAAACATCCCTAACGTCTGTGTGAGTGGGCGGGGCTAAAACGTTGTACGTTGAATAGGCGGATATACGTAAACGTGTTGGTTTTTGTATCACAAATACAATGAATTCAAAGATGGGCTGTTTTTGCTGATTACTTGCCATGTATGGACTGTATGGACTGGAGAGTGAATGGTATGTTTTATTTACACACCACATTACACGCGAATTAAGAAAATAAAAAATGAATTTAAAAAAAAATAAGAAAATTTGGCTTTCCATTACATGGGCCCTACAAGGGAACGAAGTATTCTGATTTTGTGTCTTTGATTTAGGGCTGAAAGATAAATAGTTTTTGTATTGAAATCATGATTTATAACTTTTTCTTTTTTTTTAATCGCAAGAGCTGCAATTTTTACAAAATGATAGCCTACATTATCAACAGTGTTGTCCTAAGTTGTAAGAGGGGTAATTTAACTTTATAACTCAGAGCTTGTGAACTGCCTGGAGATAAGGTGGACCAATCAGAGGCAACCAAACCCTTATGTTTTGTGACATCACAACTAGAGCTTACTGGCAGTCTGGCAAGCTACATTCAGGGGTGAAGCCTAAACCCACCAAAAGTCAATATTCTGGTCTTCTTGGCCAAAAAAAACCCCTTAATTTTTAGTCAATAATCAAAATTTAAATCACACCCGCAATATTAATCAGAAAAATCACAATTCGATATTTTGCCCAAATTGTTTTGTGCTACTTTGAATAATTTTGTAATTAGTCATTTTCAATGCATTGTTCTTCACTTTTAATATATATATATATATATATATATATAATATATATATATATATATATATATATTATACAAATATGGTAACAACACTTGTGTATAAACATTACAAAAAATTGTAAAAGAACATGAATCCGTTAATCATAAGGGCAAAAAGATATATAATAAATTAATTAATTAATAAATAAATACCTGATATTGAGTTTGGCAGTGCTTTACATTGTTGTAGTGCTGGACCACGATCTTTAACTGGTGACAAAAGAAGAGCCTTCCTTGCTGTCTGGAACGAGGTTTTGGCCTTAGCCTCTTCATGAGCTCGTCTCTTTTTCAAAATTCCTATCAGATCACTGGACGGCGATCCCTTCATCACATCTTTAATCTCTGTCCTTTTCTTGTCCTCTCCTGAGTGACAGGAAATCTGTCCCAGGTCGTTTTCCACTTTGTGCAAAGCGCTGCACTTTCGCAGTGGAGTAGACGAGGCCATTACTTATTCTAAAAGGAAATAATCGATTTGAAGCACGGCATTTCCTTTCCAGAGACTGTAATTTCAAGTGGAACTGCTTCTTGTCACGCATCAGTTCCTTAAGTGCATTTACAGGTGATTTGTTCGCAGCCGCAGATGCCTTTCCGAGGAGTCTCTTCAGATGACCCCGGACATGGTTCGACAATCCGGTTCTCGTGTCGAACCATTCCCTACACAGCGGACAGGTGAGCTTCGTCAGCTGCTCAGACTCTGAAAAGTTCTTCTCTGTTTCAATAAGAAACCAACAAGAAAGGTCATTAATTTACAGCAGAACAAAAACATCAAAATAAGCTTCACTTCATTCTTGCAGATTTTGCTGTGTCAGCATTATGGCAAGCTTCAAGGTTCCAAAGCAGAATTAGGAACCAAAGGTTTTACATTCAAGCTGTAATTTGAAAACGTTTGAAAAGATAAATCTGTCTCATTTAACATTAATGAGCCAATTAGTTCAAGACTTTATAAAAAAAATACTGCTTGTTAATTACAATGTGTTTATGAATACCGCACTTTAAGGGGATTCCACCAATTTTTCAAAAATTGACACATTTCAGTTATTGAGATGTGAAATGGTTCATTGCAAAGATGTCTTTACACTGGTGCTGATAGGAACCAGGGGTCGCCATGACTACAACACGAATATAGACATTTTATTTACTGTCCAGAACCACCAGTGAACCTACACGAGTCTTCTGAGCTTTTGTATGGAATGTCGATGATAGTGGAAAATCTGAAAATGCCTGTATGTACCTCTCCAACATGGACGTGTTTTCAAAAATGCGTCTCAAAACTGTCGTAAAACAGTGTTTTAGACATTACGCAGTGAATTCATAACCATTTCATGTAGTAACTTTCTGTGAGGGAGCTTTTAGAGGCGGATGTCTGGTTCCTATCACCACCACTGTGAACAATTCTGACTTGATCATTTCTGTAGAACATATACAGGCATGAAATCTCATGAGCAGTGAAAAAGGTGATAAGTTTAGAAACTGATCTCTGGTATCGAGGTCCGCCGGCATCCAGAAAATGTAAGCAATTTTAACATTAAATTTTGGGGCATTCTGGTGCAAAAAAACAAAACACAAAGAATAATTGCTGTAAAAACTGTAATCTTGAAGAAAAATTTAAAAAAGGGCAGACACACAGTGCTTGGACCCCTATGATTGCTATTTGAGATGTAATTTGTAGACAGTAGTTGAGCTCTTATAGTGGTTAAGACAGTCCACAGAAATCAACTAAGTGAATTTTAGACAAAAACGAAGCAGCAGCTGATTGTTTTGGTTTTAAACAATGTTCATTTTCTCATAATGACCTTTATTTGCCCCCTGTTGGAAAGCTAATGATATTTTAGCTCTGCTTGACAATAAAAAGTAATACTATATTAAATTGACCTAATAATGAGCGTGAACTACTGATGTGCTGTGTTTGGGGGGGAGGAAAGATTCTCTCATAGAATTCTCTGCAAGCAGTAAACACCCCTCATTAGATCTACACAATTCATGTAAATGACATATTCATCATTCAAAGTGACAAATTTCACCAAGTGTGGTAAGTTTGTATGTATGACTGCACATCACACCACTATGAATGACTTTGTTGACATCTAAACTACTGAATTGTGTGAACATTTTGTGAAAAATTGTGGATATTCACCCCTTAAGCAGGACTTTAAAGATCTTGCAAGGCATATGCTTCTAGCATTTTTTGACATAATTTGAAAATACCTGATGCTCTTAACATTGCGTGTCAATTTCATGATGAATGGACCGAAAGAAACAGTCCAAAATTACTTCTCGTTCCATTGACTTCCATTAAAAGTAAAGTATGTTTTTTCCTTCTCCTGTAAAGTTACCATTTTGGTTACAATTCTGTTCTGACAGCAGCATTGCGCAAGGCCATGAAGCAGTAGGAATTCTCATATGGCAGTATTGGTACTCTCACGGTATACCCAGGTATATGGTACATCACCCTACTGTATTGGATGTACCATTATTTATTTCACAAGCCTTAACTTGGACAAACCGAGAAAGTGCGCAAATATGGGAAAACTAGATAAAACATGCACAGCAAATAAGTTAACATGTGAAAACTGAACAGTCACCTGTTTTAATTTGAGGTACTGCAGTCATTCTTCGCCGAACCTGAGGCACTTTATTAGGGGAAGTCACCCGAGCCATTGATGCACCATGCCGTTCATTACAGCCCAGACTCACCCTGTCCCTGTGCAAATGCCCTCGTATGTGGTTGGAAAGACTAATGCCCGACTGAAACTCAGCAGGGCAGTAAGGGCAAGACTTCAGGTCCATCTCAAAGTCTGTACTGGCCTCATTTTTCACTGCTGAACCTGATTCAGAAGTACTGTCATATACTTCTGTCTCCATGCATTCTTCTTTGATCAGAAATGTCCGCAGGGAATCCGGGTCTTTCTCGGAGTGACCGCTCGAGGTACGCGGACTTCCCTTCATAGGAGATGGGCGTTTGCGTAAAAATTGGCTGTTGATATGTAAACCGTCTTTGACATCACATTTCTCGGTGAGGTGAAAGTTGGAGTTGGGGGTAGAGTCGTGCATAAAACCGTCCTCGCTGCCCACATCCTTGCGCTTTTGGGCTGCTTCCTTTTTCTTCAAATTTTGCCTGCATTTGGGAAAGTCAATAAGTATGTCTTGCCCTCGCATGTTATGAAATGGAGTGGACATTTTCCTTTTGGAAGGAGACTTCTTTAAAGAAGCCTTGACCAAAGTTAAATGTCTGTACTTGGAGCTCAACTTCTCTTCTCGGGAACCGTCTTTGTTATTGCTGACTTCTTGGCACGTTCCACCATCACATTTCAAAGTGCTTGCTGAGCCCCTCTCCTTAAGTGCAAACAGTTCCCCCTTGCACTTGGAAGAGGATTTAGGCCCGTCCTTTTCCAGACAGTGAATTGTCACTGCCGCATTTGCCAACATCCAGGCTCTTATCGTTCTTTCTGTCAGTTTTTTGATTAGTGTCATTTTCTGAGGTCCTTCGTCTTTTCCGGGATAGAAGCGTGTTAATCGACTTGTCAAGTCTAGACGTCTTTTTGGGCGATTTATCATTTGCCGTGTCCTTTCGTTTTGTTTTCTCTGATCGTACTAGACTGGGTACATCGTTCGACCTGGGGCTCTCTTTCTTCCTCGAGTCCTCAGACGGGAGTTGCTGGGTTTTTCTACCCGGTGATTGTGAACCTACACTGGGCAACTTGCACGGAGATGAAACATGGTCAATACTTTCTGAACTGTATGTGAAATGTATGTCTTCTTCCAAATCTTCGGCAAAAATGTGAGGATGTAACATCTCGAAATGATTCCTAAGGATGTTCTTGTTCTTCGTTTTGAAAGAACACAATTTACAGGAGAATGAGACTGGATATGAAGTTGCAGCATTACTATCAGATGCACCAATTTTCTGTTCCTGGAACCCCTCTTGCTTCCCCATCGTCATGTACTGAGCATCAGTGATACAGTGCTTGCAAAGCATATGACCCTTCATCTCAATTTCATTCATTGCCACGAAGCTACACTTTTGACAGCGATAGTAGCGCTTGTCCTTCTCATGGCTTTTTGCATGCTGGACGAAAGTGTTAGGGCAGTTGGTTCCAAATGTGCACTGCGGACACTGTAACCTTGCATCTTTGCCCTCGTCTTTAGGTCCATCTGTCCCCTTGATCTTCTGTCTCTTCTTCTTGTGAACAGTTATGTGTCTTAAAAGTGAGTTGTGATCAAAAAACGACAATCCACACTCTTTGCATATGAATGGCTTTTGATCTGGAATATATGAATGGTTTTTCGTGTGCCTCTGTGAATGAGATTTTTCTTTAAACTTGCTATTGCTTGGAAAAAACACAGGTTCCTCTGAGCTAGGGTCTGCTAACAGATTATCTTTAATAAATCGCAGCTTTTGATTCTTCCTATTTTTTGCTGGTTTAGGGAGAACATGTTTAAAGGCCACTGCAGTTCCATTTGAGTACTGTGAGTTTTTAGATACCGGCGAATGAGACCTGGGTCGTTTCCAGGGAGAATCTCCCTTATTGGTAGAGCCGTGGTCTATATGGCTGCCTTCACCCAAGTGATCGTTCTTTGAATTCAAGTTCAAGTCTGTGTAGAGCTCTTCTGAAGGATCGACCATCACCACCATGTCCATTTTACGCTTCCTCCTTCTATGGCTAACAGTCGGTGAGGCGGTGGGTGTTTTCTCCTCCGTTTCAGAACGATCATGATCCTCCAGCAGGAAACTTCATGAACTCTTTCTGGGGATTCCAGCTCAGATCATTCTCAACGTCATAACAGTCCAACGAGTTCTCTGGAGACTCTTCGTCGAAGCCCCATATGCCCCGATTTTCAACATCTTCAGCGGTTAACATCTGTCTTATCGTCATTTCCCCGTCCTTCCTAAGTGGATCACATTCTTCAAATTGGACGCTGGTTGCGACAGTAGAGTTTTGTGCGTGCAACGACTTGGGGAGGAATCCTGGAACATTTTTGGAGATATCTAACAGAATTTCATCTGAAATATTGGGTGAACTTGATCCATTTACGTAGGCAGCTTTGGCTGGCCCATCGGCACAGATGGACTCAATAAAACGAACGTGCGTCAGGAGATCTGCTTGGTCATTGTTCGGGGTCATGTTATCACGTGAGCACTGCATTGATGGTTCTAATACACTTCCTCCAAGAGAGAATGTCTGGTCGCTCATTAGAGTCTCCGAGATTCCTGACATGGAGTTGTCATTTTCCTCCCCATTGGTGCTCTCCTTCAAAGCAGACATGCCTCCGGACTGTTTCTGTGAGATGCAAAAAGACAAAAAGAGATTATTATTGGTTTGATACGGGAACTTTTGATCAGAGGCAGTAACTCAACTGCAGAGCAACTTCATGCTTTGAGCATGAAGCACAATTTAAGCCTTGGGTTCACTACATGACTTTTAAAGTCTTAAGAGATTATAAAAAGACTGGGCATCTCACACTATCAGACTGGGTTCTGCAGATTTTTTGGGCAACTGAAATATTGGCGATCCACACTCAACAATTAGTGATCACACACTACTCAACTTTTAAGCTGTTGCTGAACCGAACGGAACTTGCGCGAACTTGTGTTACTCGGAGACGCAAATAAACAAACGTGGAGCGACTCGCTGCTGCTGTTTTCTCTGCCTTTTACACTGACACAGGCTTTAAACTGCATCCAAGTAGTTTGTAATAAGGATGCATCGATAGCGATACTGGTATCGTACACTTCCGATACCCTGAGCTAATTTTGTTAAAGCTGTGTGGGTGCAGAAAAACCACATGAGCCTTGTGATACCACTTACTTACGTGCTACCCAAGATTCGGACCGCCCAGTTTCATATCATGAATATGTTTTGGCTGAAGTTTTTTATCTGTTTAGTCAAATGAAGGAAACAGAAAGACTACTGCAGCCGTCTAAAGCACACCGGAGGAGAAGCGCCACAGTGTGCTACGCAGCAGACAGTACAAAGTGAGGCTACACCACATATGAAGCGCTGCAGTAAAGTGGTGATAGATATCGAAACTCAAGCTCATTTTAAGCCACTTTTCCGCTGCATCGTAACGGCTTGACTTGACTTGCTTTTTTGGTTTTCCACTGGGCAAATCTGGTACCTGGCTCCTGGTGCCGGGTACTATTTTGGTAGCACATCTGTCGAGCTTCCAAGCGAGCTGAGCTGATCCCAAAAGGTGACGAGTCGAGCCGAGCTGGTACCATGCAGCGGAAAAGCGGCTTTGCACTCGACTCGTACAGATTTAGTGGAATAAAAGTATAAATTACTTATCACACTTAGCACCAGCTAACTAACTTCACAAATTCACTGTTTTCCAGTGGTCAGATTTGCTGATTAGCCATACTGATTCCTAGCTATGTTTGATTAGTAGCCAACACTGGTCATACTGCCAAATTGATATGGCACACATACAAATGTTTACTGTTACTGTGCAAAGTTGCACAAGAGAACATTAGCAAGAAAACATTCATTCTACTAGCATACTAAAATGTAAGAATTAACTACATAGCTAACAAATAAACAAGTCAGGAGCTACAACTTTTTATTTTGTTTTCTTAAGCCTCATGATGTCTCAATGAATACATTTATTGCATTTTAATTTATTTAACTATATCTGCCTTAACTTAACGCACATAAATTTCCATTCTGCTTAATGCATTTCTGGGGGGGCTCCTGAGTGGCGCAACCGTCCAAGTGTTGGCCCTATCATCAGGAGATCTCAAGTTTGATAGCCGGTGATGCTACAGCCATACAGAGCACAATAGGCCTCGCTCTTTCTGGGTGGGTAGGACGGCCCCCCCATTGCCCAGCATGATGCCAGTGGCAGTTTGAAAAGATACGGTGGCACTTCACAGGTCTCGGAGAAGAGCCCTAGGTGCTCTGCACTGCTGAATTGTATATATTGTATAAGTAATGGTTCGTGTCGTCCGCAGGGATGTTGCCAAATGTGTGGTGCCCCTGGCCACAACATTTCACATTTTGGTCACTAAAAACGCAGAGCCTGTGGCCTTTAGTAGCCATAGTAGCTCCCAGCTGATGACAGACACAACTAGAGCTCAAATAAACAAACATTACTCACCACTGCGTTCTAAAGGTTATATTTAGAAACAGCAAATAAACAAATGCTGCTGCCCTGTAAAAATGCTATTAACAAACGCTTCAACAAAAAACCCAGAGTTGTGCATCACTAAGTAGGGCTACTCATGCGAACAGTTAAAAACGGTCCTCAAGTTGAAAGAAAAACCTGCATATTCAAATATCAGCTGTTTATTGGAAATTAAATTAACATTTTTGATTGAAAGCATTTGTCAAACTAAATCATGGCATGACTGAAATATGTCGTATTTGCTGCAGGGATGGGTGATATGGCAAAAATAATACATTGCGATACTTAGACATTTTCAGAATGCACAACATTTTGTTTTACTGAAATTTTATAAGAACAGACAAATTTCAACCTGTAGTGCTATAAAAACGTGCAACTATAATAATTTTTATTCAATGTTTACCCGCTGCACTAAATCCAATTAAACAGGGCTAATTATCTTTGCATTTTAATGAAACATTAGAAGTATTAACGATGTCCATGACTTGTTCAGAAAAACGTATTGTGACATAATTTACGGCGACAATAATATCATCATACTGCCCACCTCTATTTTCCCGGTTAATTAATTATTAACATCCCAACTTATTATCATTGTGCACCGACCACCATCCATGTTCACATTAGGCCACAAAACTGTGGTAAAAAAAGACCAGAACTGCAAATGTCACACAAACTTTACTGTCTGGGGCCGTTGGTGTTCTAGGAGAGCTGAAACATGAGTTTTTCCCAAAACCTGAAGCTGTTTTGTCTGATGTCTGAAACCTGACGCTGTAGTCTGAGGACGTAACATAGCGCATTCAACCAGCGCAGCTTAACAATCTCGTCTGTGTTAGACACAATAAAAGTTGTATTAGTGCAGGATTTCACATCACCCAACACGTTTAAAAGTTCAGTCACGCTCACGTGTTGGAATATTGGTGTCTTGCTACGATGTGCACAAAAAATAATTCAATAGTCGATCGACTTTTCTTTAAACCAGGTGGTAAATGAGGTTTTACTGTAACTGGGGGCTGTTACCGTGGTTTTTCTGTCACTAGGCTCAGGCATTTTTCGCACGTTTTAAAGAAATTAAGATGTTCTTGTAGCTATTTTTAACAGTGTAGTACATATCGCACCACTGAACAGAGCATTAAAGATATTACATATATGAAAATGACTTTAGAAGAAAAGCTACTTTGCAATAAATATTTGAAAAACAAATTAAAAAGCAAAGAGAAAAAGATACCCAGATAAACTGTTCACAGATGGAGTTTATTATCACCCTAGCAATGGAAAGGGTGCATTCAGAGGGAGAACTAAGGTAGATAATATTCTGGTTAGCACAGCATGATGTTATCATATTGCTATATACTGTGATTGCAATATATCTTATATTATACAACAGTTAGTTCCAAAAAATGACAAAACTGAGCTAAACTTGATATTGCGGCAGTTTTATGACTCAGTCCAATTTGGTCAGACTCTGAAGACGGGACTACATGTTTGGCGAATGGTATTGGGTTCATTTCTGGCTGATTCCAGGTTGTTTAGCTGTTCTTCTGTCTCAGCTGCCGACTGAAAAGCTGCTCAGTGGTGATGACAGTTTGGGGAATTTAGTGTAAGGAGCTGGAGAAAGAACTGCCGGCTGTGCAGCGAGTGGGCGGAGCTCGTTACTCTGACGTAGCAACAAGCCGCTTGTTAAGGAACTATAATTTGGTGAAGGAACTGCGAACATTAAACCATATTAAACGCCGCGTTCACGGCCCAGTTTATTAATTTATTACTTTATTTATTTAACTGTTGTATTAAAGCAGTAGAACACTCGAGGAGTGTGTTATCGCCAATAACATCACGGCTGTGATGATCTACGGTGACCAAATCACAGCTGTGACGTTATTTCGCGACAACACACTCCCTCTCATGTTCTATTGCTTAAGTATAGTGAAAACACATTAAAGAACTACTGACTTGACATGTTTAACATTATTTTTGACAAGATTCTTTATGTTTAAAGGATCGTGTAATTGCCTTAATTTATCGAACGCCTAAAGGACATCGGCGACTGATCAGGATGATCACGGCAGACAGTAAAACATCCAGCAGTGACTGGTTAGTCACTTAAATACTGCACAGTCCTGCAGTATCGCGAAGGCCTAAGGCAATAACGATTGAAGAATGATGTCGCTGTTGCCCGAAGAAAACCTTGTATCTCTTTCTTGTCACCCTTTACATTGTATATAAATTTCATGGTGAATGGACTAAAAGAAATGACCAAAAATGACTTGGAAAAATGTCTGGTTCCATTGACTTACATTAAAAATAAAGTATTTTTTTTCCTTTTCCTATAAAGTTGTCATTTTGGAGATATGAGGTTTTCTTCTGACAACAACGATATATTGTGCAGCCCATGTACCTATATATGTGTTTGTGTGCGTATGTATATATATCACTCTCACATGACGACATGCATTACTGCTGACAGGAATTTGTACACGTGTTCTTGATTATAATCTGTTGTCTGCAATATATTTACTGACATTCTGCAAAACGTGAAACCCTGCGTGCTGAAAATATGAAATACTGCTGCACAACACGAGGAAAAAGTTATGGTCCAGTGGCATAAATCACATGCCTCTGAGGAGAACAAAAATTTGGTGCAAGCAAGCAAACAGATCACAAATCACCAGGCATTAAACCACAACATGAGATCACTTACTAAAGTCATGATCAAATCTCAATCAGCTGCATGTCTTCTTGATCAAATCAATTTGTGGAAACAGCTAGCAAATTCCTATCAAAGCATTCAGTTCTGCAGCCTAATCCATCTTAAAATATGCATTTTCAGACTTATGCTTAAAGGGCAACTCCAATTATTTTTCAAAATTTTTGCATAATTTAAAGGTTAACACGTGAAGTCATTCAGAGTGGTTTGGTGTGAAACGCTCCACTCCAGAGAAACTTACCGAGTCAGAATTGTTCACAGTGGTGGTGATAGGAACCAGACGTCCACCTCTAAAAGCTCCCTCACAGTACAGCATTACATGAAAAGGTTATGATTATGCGGCCTGATGTCTGAGACACCGTTTTACAATAGTTTTGTGATTAAGTTTTTAATCCATATCATATTTTAATCAATTTTAATCCATTCATGGTGGAAGGATACAAGAAGGGTGACGCTAAGGCAAAATAGTCCCCAAAGAAAACTAGTTTGTTTCAGGTTTTCCACCAATTTTCCATCATCAACATTACATATATAAACTCAGAAGACTCGTGTAGGTTCACTGGTGGTTTCTGATAGTAAATAAAATGTCTACATTTGTGTTGTAGTCATGGCGACCCCTGGTTCCTATCAGCACCAGTGTAAAGACATCTGAGTCTGTAGGTTTCTCTACAAAGAACCATTTCACACCAAACCACTCCGAATAACTTTCTTTACATCTCAACCACTGAATTACACAGAAATTTTGAAAAATCAGTGGAACTCCCCTTTAAACTGCTGGAGAGGCATCTCTGACATCTTCAACGCTGATTTTCTCCTTATACCTCTTACTGCAAGTGCACTCTTTAAAAAGACGATTCTTAAGGGGTTCTTCAGCAAATACAATGGTTCTGTTCAGAACCATGAGAGCTACACAGAACAATCTGCATGCTTAAAGGGTTCCTTGCATGGCTGGAAGGGTGAAAGGGTTCTTCAGACTGATGGAGAACGTGTTGACACCTTTTTGAAAATGGTTCTATCTAGCACCCAAAAGGGTTCTGGTATTGTTACGATATCAAGCTTCTAACAATAACAGAAGAGCCCCTTTTTTATGACCATATAGAACCATTTTCAATGCAAAAACCATATTCTACACAGTCTGAAGATCCGTTTTCAGCATGCAAAGAACCATTTAAGCATGCAAATGGTTCCACGTGGGACACAGAAGCACTGCCTTTACTAAAGAACCCTTGGAGAACCATCCTTTTTGAGAGTGTATGGGACTGAGTGCTAAGCCAAGGCAGCAATCATTGCCCATTATGTTCCATATCAAGCCCCACAACACAAACACAGCTGCCTCCTGCAGAGTCCGGGGCTAGGTGGGCTGCTTTCCCCCCGAAAACATGACGCACAGACACATCTCTGCCATACCTTTCCGCCGCTGAAACCAAGAACAACACCACCGAAGCGAAATCATTTCATTTCTCCTCGCTCTAGCCTTCCATCCATTGCGAAGCGGCCATGTTTTGCGCGATGGTCCATGGATGAGACCACTACATCGCTTTGGGGGGAGGCATGTGGAGACACACAAGAAAAAGACACACAAATGAAATCTTTTCAAGTGACAAAATAATTCACGATTACATAACCCACATATGATTCTATCAAATCCATACGCTTTACTCCATACCCGATCAAACAGTATATCTTCATTCAGCACTGTGGGCGGCGTCCCCCAAACACGGAGTGGAACGGTCCAAATAGGTGGCATCAAGCAGCCAACAGTCGAAAGCTGGTCGGCGAAAAAAGGAGAAAGACGACAAAAGGAGCTCTCTCCTGCGGTGAAACCGCATCAAACACCTTCCTTACGTGCGATCGGCTTGCGTTCGCGCTCACGGACTGACATCCTGATCATAAACCGCGAGATTTACGCGTCCAAGCTTGCGAAAACAAGTTAACTCGCCCGGGTCGCTGAAATGAACGAGGCTGAAGTTGGCGTCCGATTCGAATTTTCCCGTTCCACCTTAAATGGTGCAGCAGTTACGTTCTGGCACCCGAAGCGCCACAATGTAACTGCCGCGCCATTTAAGGTGGAACGGTAAAATTCTAATAAGAAGCTAACGAGCTTCGTCTGGGATCAAGTTACGTCTAACCGGTTTAGACACATACACATTTAAACAGGACAGGGCTGCCCTCGGTGTGTCTCAAGGGTTTGTGATAGGAGTAGTTAATGTCTGCAAACTCAGATACACCAAATTAACAGCAGTTTACTTTGACAAATACACCGTGTGACGGCGAGCGGCGCTGCTGAGCTCACTAGCCTGTTCACTCCTATAACCGACCGTTACGTGTCCTGAACAGCTAACGTTAGCTTCACCAAAAAACCCATAAAGCGTTTTCAAGAGATCGCTCATGCTCAAGTAACGCTAAATATATTAGATTTCATCATGTTTTCGAAACGTGACCACTAAAAGTTATATTTCTCAATTTTTCAGAAACCGTTTTTGTCAGCTAGCTAGCTAAGTTAGCTAACTTAGCTACGACGTAACAGTTTCGGTTATTTTATTTATTTTTATTGCCGCATTCTTAAAATATAAGTTAACAGATAACGAGTTTGAACAACGTTGGAGTATTAGTTAGTTGAGATTTCTTGTGTCGTCTTAAAACGTAACGTTATTTAGCAACTTACATTCAGACTGTTCTAACCAAAGCTTGGCTAGCTAACGTTAACTATCATGTAAACCTCCTATAACATATTACATTATGTAACAAAACAGTACTTCTTTGCATAATAACAGTACCATTCTCTGTCTTTCAAAAAAGAATGACCAATTTTAATGCATAGGTGGATAAAAATAGCTTATTTCACCACAGTCTTATAGATATATAACCTAGATATGAGCAAGTGAGGCTAACGTTAACTAGCTAAATTAGCTAACTTAGCTAGCTACGATTCATCAGTTTCGGTTATTTTATTTATTCTTACTGTCGCATTCTTAAAATATAAGTTAAAAGATAACGAGTTTAAACAACGTTGAGGTCTTTTATTTAAGTTAGTTGAGATTTATTGTGTCGTATTAAAACGTAGCGTTATTTAGCAACTTACATTCAGATCGTTCTAACAAAAACTTGGCTAGCTAGGCTAGCTAACATTAACTATCATGTAAACCTCCTATAAAATATTACATTATGTAACAAAACAGTATTCCTTTGCATAATAACAATACTATTCTGGATAAAAATAGTTTATTTCACCTCAGTCTTACCATAGTTAAGATTTGAGCAAGTTAGGTTAACGTTAGCTAGCTAGCTAAGTTAGCTAACTTAGCTACGACTTATAAATTTCGGTTATTTTATTTATTCTTATTGCCGCATTTTTAAATATGAGTTAACAGATAACAAGTTTAAACAACGTTGAAGTCTTTTAACCTAGTTAAGTTAGCTGAGATTTTTTTGTGTTGTCTTAAAACGTAACATTATTTAGCAACTTACATTCAGATCGTTCTAACTTGGCTAGCTAGGCTAGCTAACGTTAACTATCATGTAGACCTCCTATAAAATATTACATTATGTAACAAAACAGTATTCCTTTGCATAATAACAATACTATTCTGGATAAAAATAGTTTATTTCACCTCAGTCTTACCATAGTTAAGATTTGAGCAAGTTAGGCTAACGTTAGCTAGCTAGCTAAGTTAGCTAACTTAGCTACGACTTATAAAGTTCGGTTATTTTATTTATTCTTATTGCCGCATTTTTAAATATGAGTTAACAGATAACGAGTTTAAACAACGTTGAAGTCTTTTAGCTAAGTTAGCTGAGATTTCTTGTGTTGTCTTAAAACGTAACATTATTTAGCAACTTACATTCAGATCGTTCTAACTTGGCTAGCTAGGCTAGCTAACGTTAACTATCATGTAAACCTCCTATAAAATATTACATTACGTAACAAAACTGGATTCCTTTGCATAATAACAATACTATTCTGGATAAAAATAGCTTATTTCACCTCAGTCTTACCATAGTTAGTTAAGATGTGAGCCAGTTAGGCTAACGCTAGCTAGTCAGCTAACTTGGCTATGACTTATCAGTTTTGGTTATTTTATTTATTCTTATTGCCGCATTCTTAAATATGAGTTAACAGATAACGAGTTTAAACAATGTTGAAGTCTTTTAAGTTAGTTGAGATTTATTGTGTCGTCTTAAAACGTAACATTATTTAGCAATTTACATTCAGACTGATCTGACAAAAGCTAGGCTAGCTAACGTTAACTATCATGTAAACCTCCTATAAAATATTACATTAACGAAACAGTATTCCTTTGCATAATAACAATACTATTCTCTGTCTTACAAAAAGAATGACCGATTTTAACGCATAGGTGGATAAAAATAGTTTATTTCACCTCAGTCTCGCCATAGTTCAGATGTGAGCAAGTGAGGCTAACGCTAGCTAGCTAGCTAAGTTAGCTAACTTAACTACGACGTATCAGTTTTGGTTATTTTATTTATTCTTATTGCCGCATTCTTGAAATAAAAGTTAAAAGATAAAGAGTTTAAACAATGTTGAAGTATTTTATGTTAGTTGAGATTTATTGTGTCATCTTAAAACGTAACGTTATTTAGCAACTTACATTCAGACCGTTTTAACAAAAGCTTGGCTAGCTAGGCTAGCTAACGTTAACTGTCATGTAAACCTCCTATAAAATATTACATTATATAACAAAACAGTATTTCCTTGCATAAAAACAATACTATTCTCTGTTTTATGAAAAGGACGAATTTTAACGCAGGTGGATAAAATTAGTTTATTTCACCTCAGTCTTGGTTCAGATGTGAGCAAGTTAGGCTAACGTTAGCTAGCTAGCTAACTAAGCTTTGTGTAAATCAATAAAACCTGACTGAATAGCTAACATTACATTTTTTATTTTCATTTTGTTATATGTAGGTTATTCCTGAACATACATGCTATAAAATATTTGCTTCAGAGGACAAGAACCTTGTCCCTGAACTCTTTGGTGTAATAGCTAGCCTATCTCTCTTCTGAGCTAAGCTATCTGACTATGAATTTGTTAATTTACCTTTCAAATTAAGTCTAAAATCTTTTAGATACCACAGTTTTCTGCTTATTGTAGTCCATTGTAATTATTTGTCATATGTTCTAACTTACCTGTCATTTGTAAGTTATTGTAATGAAAAGAATGTAATAAATTTGATATTTTAGATGAAAGTTCTGCCCTTTTCTTTTTATCTTACGCAGATCTTACAGAAATTGTCACCAGAACATGCTCAGTTGAGCCCTGAGGATGACAGCGTCTGAAGAATTCACCTTCTCCCTGGACAACCTGTTTTTTGACAGACCATTGGTTCATAAAGTGTAAGTTTTTGTACTATGGTTCAAAAAGACAGCTAATAGCTCTAAAATGGGTGTCTGGCTGTTGAATGAATTGCCCACGTTAAGTGAAAATCCATAATCACAATTTACTTTTTCGCCCAGGTTCTTAAATGTTATCAGTGGTCACCAACCCTCCTCTTGGTGATCTACTTTCCTGCAGAGTTTAGTTCCAACCAATTCTGCCTGTTCCTTATCCAACACTAATGCACCTGATCCTGCCAATCAAGGAGTAGTAGTTAATTAGCTGGACCAGGTGTGGCAGATTGTGGTGCAACTAGACTCCGCCACAGTAAAGAAGAATCAGCAGGTTTCTCTACAACAAACGATTTCACATCATAACAAAGCATCAAACGTCAGAACAGTGATATAAAGTGTTCTAAGTAACTTTGGCTGTGGCGTAGGTGCCAGACGGGGTTGCTTGAGTATTTGAGACAGTTTTTAAAGACCCAGAGAACCCAAATCTGTATTTTCTTTCTAATTTACGTTAATCTTGTTCTTGCAAGCAAACAGTAAACATATACTAAGTAAACCCTTTGAATAATGTCCCAATTGACAAATGAATGACCAATATATTTCACCATATTTCTCTGCTCTCAGTATAAACTGTGTGGTCCTAATCTTGGGTAACCCCTCCGTATTCCCAAGTATATACAAGTATTCCCCTGACCAATCACAAGGCTGCATCAAGTCAAGTCAAGTCAAGTCAAAGTTTATTTATATAGCGCTTTTTTACAACAGGTGTCACAAAGCAGCTTTACAGAAAAATCTGGGTCCGAGCCCCTATGAGCGTCGCCAATGGCGACAGTGGCAAGGAAAAACTCCCGAAGAGCAAGAAGAAGAAACCTTGAGAGGAACCAAGACTCAGAAGGGGAACCCATCCTCCTCTGGTCAACACCTGATAGCAAACAGCGTTAGAATAAAATATTAGAATACAGATACGGGAAAAAACAGTTCATGAGGGTGAGGTTTGCACAGCGTTGTACAGCATGAAGCGCAATGGTGGTCAAACCAGTCCAGAAGGCTTGGCGAGCAGTGGCACCCAATTAAGGCAGAAGAAGCAACAGTATCAGACGCACAGGATGGGCAGCTGTTCAACTCGGCAAAGAAAAGTAAACACAGAGAGTTAGTTCTGTAAAGGGTGACTGATCACAGATTACGGTATTAACAGAGCAGCAGAGACTCCAGCAGGTCTAGTTATTACAGCCCTTTACTAAAAGGGAGAAACAAGAAAGGTAACAGAGACATGAGGCTCCCTGAGATGTCGGCGCCCCTCCGCTCCACCGTCAACAAACCTGAGTGAATGAGTTAGAGCAGCAGGACGACAGCACCAACACTCCCAGTTTACCATGATACTCTATGACCACGAACCCCCAGATCTGCACCTTTTATCTAACAGGGAAAACTTACCAAAGCCAAAGACTAAACTTGTCAGTTTTTAGCCTAGACTTAAAGACTGAGGCTGTGTCTGAGTCCCGAACACTGACTGGAAGATTATTCCAAGGCTGGGGGGCTTTGTATGAGAAGGCTCTCCCCCCTGATGTAGCTTTATTAGTTCTAGGTACTAATAGTGAGCAGCACCTTGTAATCTAAGTAGGCGTGATGGTTCATAGCAAGACAGAAGTTCATTCAGGTACTGAGGGGCCATTTAGAGCTTTATAGGTCAGTAAGAGAATTTTGTTATCAATGCGAAATTTAACCAGCAACCAGTGCAGTGTTGAAAAACTGGACTGATATGGTCAAACTTTCTGGTTCTAGTGAGACTGGCTGCAGCGTTCTGGACTAGCTGAAGCTTGTTTAGGCTTTTGCTGGAACAACCAGACAGCAGGGCATTACAGTGATCCAACCTTGATGAAATCAATGCACGAACTAGCTTTTCTGCATTCTTTAGAGACAATGCATTTCTTAATTTAGCAATAATTGTGTCTCTTGCCCTGCCCACATAGAACAGTTTCAGAGTCAGAGAAGCTTCGTGAGCTATAGCTAACCTAGTATAACCAAAAGCTGGTGAGCTAGACCACCTGTCTGTAGCTGCCTGTTTATTCATTTGTACGTACACCAACATTGTTCCTTCATCTGAGGTGTCTGTTCCAAACAGTAACCCCTTTTTTAACTTGTGGGAATAAACCTTACATTTTTTGTTGCTTTATCATGGGGTACATTAAAAAAGTGAGTTATACTCAGAATTACCAAAACAGTAATCGTCGAAACATTTGCTAAAGTTTGGTTAGTGTGATGATTGTTTCGGTAGTGACAAAGTGGAATGTTCAATCATTTGTTTTAATAAAATAAACATTATTAACCTCCTAAAATCCTGGGCTTATATACTAAGGCTTATTATTCAGTAACTACAGGGACTTCAGTGCAAACCGGCTGAGCTGTTCTTAGATTATGGAAGTGTGTAATAAAACTTTGGACCCTGGCCATTTAGAGGTTAAGGTATAGGGTCACTCAAAAAAAATATTTTAGTCTAAAGTCCAAAATGTGCTTTCAGTTCTGACTTTGAACCATATTTATCTATATATGTGTCTTATTACCTATTTACCTACTTATCTATGTAGGAACCCATTATGTCAGGAACAGAATGTCTGGAAACTTGATGCTGCACCATCAGTTTCTGAAATACCAGCAACCCAAGACATCCAGAAGGAAGCTGAATGCCTGTCTTTAGCTGGTGAGTCACAAATAGCTACACATGCTCAGTATTATTTCACTATAGAACTGTGTAGATAAGATCTCAAACAAGGATACTGTCTTTGTTAGTAATCAGAACTATGGCTGCAGGTTTTTAGGGCTTTACACCAAGTATCTCTGTTTACAGGGATGCTACCAGTTAGTGCAGCTGTCAGTCGTACTAACACTGGGGAATAAACCAATAAACAGTTAAAACCTCTCCTTAATAATAGTTGTTTTGCAGAGATATGAAATCTGAAATCATTTTTCATTTACACTTTTATATTTTTAAAGCTTTTGGAAGTTTTTGGATTTTTTTTATGTTTATTAAAGCTTTTGGACATATTTCTATTTCTTCCCATCTGCATAACTTTTTGTTTTACACTATTTAAAAAAGATGGTTCTTTAGTAAAGACAGTGGTTCTGTATAGAACCATGAACACTCAAAGAACCATTTGCATGTTTAAATGGTTCTTTGCATGGTGAAAAGGTTCTTCAGATTGATGGAGATGTGTTGTATATGGTTCTATGTAGAACAGTGGTGCACAACTCTGGTCCTGAAGGGCCGGTGTCCAGCACAGTTTGGTGATTTACCTGTTCCAACACACCTGATTACACTTATCTGTTAATTGCCAGGTTAAATGGGTGTGTTTGAGTTGTGTGTGAACTGTGCTGGACACCGGCCTTCCAGGACCGGAGTTGTGCATCCCTGATATAGAACCTTTTTGAAAATGGTTCTATATAGCACCAAATAGGATTCTGTTACTTAAAATGGATGGGTCTTCAAGGGTTCTTTTGTAAAGAAAATGGTTCTATATAGAACCATGAACACTTAAACAACAATTTCCATGACTGAAGTGTTCTCTGCATGGTAAAATGTTTCTTCATATTGATGGAGCATGTGTTATATGTGTTCTATATAGAACCTTTCTGAAAATGTTTCTATATAGCACCAAATAGGAAAAAAAGAACCCCTCAAGGGTTCTTCGTTAAAGAAAATGGTTCTGTATGGAACCATGAACACTTAAAGATCTCTTTGCGTGATTAAAGGGTTCTTTACATGGTGAAATGATTCTCCATATTGATGGAGAATGTGTTGTGTATGTTCCATATAGAACCTTTTTGACAAGGATTCTATATAACACCAAAAAGGTTCTTGTATTGTTACAAGCTTGACATCGTAACTGTAGAACAACTCTTTTTAGTGCTGTATAGAACCTTTTTCAAATAAAGTTCTATATAGGTCCATTTACAGCACATTCTTCATCAGTCCAAAGAACCCTCTCTTGATGCAAAGAACCCTGTAATACAAACAGGGTTCTTTGAGTGCTCAAATATAGAACCATTTTCTTTAGGGAAGAACCATCTTATATAAGAACGTACTGTTATGTTGTCAAACTTGTAACAGTAGAAGAACCCTTCTTGATGCTATATAGAACCATACATATACAACTTATTCTCCATCAATCTGAAGGACCATTTCACAATGCAAAGAGCTGTTTAATCATACAGATGGTTCTTTGAGAACCATAGAACCATTGTCTTTACTGAAGAACCCTTGAAGAAGCATCTTTTTTTAAGAGTGCAGAAGAACCTATGCAGGTAACAGGGTCAGGTGTTTCATACACCTTTTAACGGCCTGTTTAAGGTTTTACAGACTAGTTTAAACAGTGAAGCTGCAGAGCAAATAACACCCACGCTGTGTGCATGAGTGCGTGTGTCGTTTGAGCTCCGGCTCGACTCTCGGCGAGACACTTTGCATCAGAAAGTGAAACTTGCTATAAATATGATGAGCCAGCCAGTCAGTGGGTGTTCCTTTGTGATTATTGTAATTAGGGCTGTCACTGTTGATTACATTAATAATTGAGTAATTTACCACTTATTTTCCTGATGAATCCAAAGCCAAGCAATAAAAAAGTAAAGTATAAAGCCAAACAGCACAGATGAGCTGAACTGCACAATAACAAACCATGCATAGTTTTTCATAGATTTTAAAAGGCTTTAAAAAGACTTGTAAATAAATGTAAGGAAAATGCGTGTAAATGTTTATGTCCATCATGCTCTGTAAGAAAGAACAGTAGGATCATTTAAAATATGCATTATGATCATACACCACTGCCGATGTATAGAGAAGCTGAATTTGAATTTTTTTAAATCAAGAAATCAAGTTTAACCGTGTAATTGCTGATCATGCTGAGTCACATCACTATATTGATGAGTCATATCACTACATCACCTCTCTTGTTAATACACACTGTGCAATATATCATAACCTGCTACTGTACTGACTCTCACTGCGCACTTTACACTGTAGATACAGAAGTTACTCCTAGTTATGTTTATACTCACTGTGAATTACCTCATACCTGCTCTCATGTAAATACAATAAATCCGTCTTATATGCTTATATAAATATAATAGTATCTGTCAGTCTGTCTATCTATCTATCTATCTATCTATCTATCTATCTATCTATCTGTCTGTCTCTGTTTGTTTATTTGTCTATCTATCTATCTATCTATCTATCTATCTGTCTGCCTATCTATCTATCTATCTATCTATCTATCTATCTATCTGTCTGTCTGTCTGTCTGTCTCTGTCTGTTTATCTACCTGTTTGTCTGTTTATTTTTCTGTCTATCTGTCTGTCTGTCTGTCTGTCTATCTGAATATTTATCTATCTGTCTGTCTGTTTATCTGTCTGTCTTTCTGTCCATCTGTCTGTTTATTTGTCTGTCTGTCTGTCTGTCTGTCTATCTATCTATCTATCTATCTGTCCATCTGTCTATTTATCTATCATCTGTCTGTCTATTTCTATATCTATCTATCTGTCTATCTATCTATCTATCTATCTATCTATCTATCTACCTATCTATCTAACTGTTTATTTTTCTGTCTATCTATCTGTCTATTTATCTATCTGTCTGTCTGTTTATCTATCTGTCTTTCTGTCCATCTGTCTGTTTATTTGTCTATCTATCTATCTATCTATCTATCTATCTATCTATCTATCTATCTGTCTGTCTGTCTGTCTGTCTATTTATCTATCACCTGTCTGTCTATTTCTCTATCTCTATATCTAACTGTCTGTTTATTTATCTGTCTGTCTCTGTAATCAGTGAGTAGCTGCACTATGTATGATTTTTTGTTAAAACTGAAAGAAGTATGGGTGCATGCGCTGCACCCTGTAAAGTCTTACATCATATTTTATTTATCGGGTTAAGACTTTTTCACACCATGTCGTATGTCTTTACATGGTCAGGCTCAAAAAAAAGGTCCAGCTTGATGTTTAGGCCTCAAATGCCCTCAAAATCAACATTACACTAATGAAGATCTGATGACAGTAAATAATTCACTCACATCCTTCACCAAGTTTTGACCGAGTTCTCTTTAAGAACTCTTTCATTGCACTCACAGTCATCAGGTTCATCCTCTTGGGGACGGGGGTCTGAAGCACATTGCAGAATGTTCTGCCACACTTTGCATGCAATTACACGTTTCCACCAGAGAGGTCTCTAAATCCACTAAACGCCCAGTCAAATCAAATGTTTTGTTGATTTTCTAAGTGGAAATAAGTCCTCTGTAGAAAACAGTCTTGTGCATGTTTTAATGCACTTTTACTGATTATTTACTGAATTAAGTAATAACGTAATGGCAAAAGTGCAAAATGTGGCCTGTGTAAAAGTTATTGCACATTTAATATTTGATGTTTTCTTTTTTCCCAACATGTTAAACTCAGAACATAAAAATTGTGCACTAAAATATGGAAAAAAAAATCAATTAGAAAATCAACAAAATATGCCATTTATTCAAACTTCTGCATACAGCTGTACACAGGGTAGCTTAAAACTTCTAAACAATGGGAAATGTCTTAATGATTGTGTTAAAAAGACATCTCTCCTATCCACAAAGGTTACTCTCAGAAGGTAAAGTGGTTTTTGCCACCTTTCCGAAGACCCGTTGTCAGTGCTGTGAAGCAGGTCCAAAGACAGACAGATGAGGCAGACGACCAGAAGATGTTCGGTGTGCGAACAGCTGAAACATCTTTAGACAGGAAACACGCTGTTGAAAGTATTGATCGAGCTTGCCCTGGTTCACTGCAGGAGTTCAGTGATGTTGTGGAAACCAGATCTTCCACAAGTTCTCGGTTCAGGACACGGTATGCCTAATATTTTAGTGTGATGATTTTTCTATTGAGTACCTAATGGATCTTAAATCTGTTGGATATATTTACACAATAAATATAATAGTTGAATTGTAAATACATTAAAGCAGTAAGCTGTGCATTGCAGTTTACTATAGTTAAAGGGGAATTCCACAGTTTTTTACTGCATAATTAAGTGGTTAAGCTGTAAACAAAGTCAATCAGAGTGGTTTGTTGTTTGTTCGTTCTAGAGAAACAGTGGTGGTGATGGGAACCAGATGTCTGAAGAGTGTAAGGCCCCTAAAATCCCCTCAAGGAAAGTTATTACATGAATTGGTTATGAATTCACTGCCTGATGACTGAGACATTGTTTCACGATAGTTTGGAGAAGCTTTTGGCCAAAGCTGTCTTATTAAAATATGTTCATGGTGGAGAAATACATGTATTATAAGATACAAAATAATGCTTTTTCTCCCAGATTTACTGCTATTCCACCATCATCAACATTCCATGTAAACACTCAGAAGACTCGTGTAGGTTCACTGATGGTTTTGGATAGTAAATAAAATGGTTTATTTGTGTTGTAGTCATGGTGACACCTGGTTCCTATCACCACCACTGTAATCTGTGTCTCTACAATTAACCATTTCACACCAAACCACTCTGAATGACTTTGCTTGTACGTCAGCCACTGAAGATGCCCATTTACTATGGTAAAATCACTGTAAAGCCTTGGGTAGCATAATGCTTTAATAAATTATTATTAAGAATTATCCACCAAGCAATGCAGGCTCTGTTGCCAAGCAACATAATGGTCAAAGATCATTCCATGGAAAGCACATTGGTCTCTAATAACTTGGTGCATTAGTACAGAGTTCAGTCAATGTATGCAATCATATATAGTTATAAGAAGTATTTTATAATGCCTTCGAATGTGGCTCATCCAATCAGGTTTTAGAACTGGAACTGTCCATTTTAAAACACAGCATATACTCTTTATATTTGACATATTACGCTATATTTAACTTTGTATGACATAAGAAGTGGCATGTGTGTTCTTATTGGATATGATGGAGCAATAAATCATCAACTGCTAATGTAATTATTCTGCTACTTTCATTTTTCCAATCATCACCCTCTAGGCTGTTCCAAGCCCCTACGAGAAAGGCCTTGGAGAGCTTCAGTGCCTCAGGTTCAGCGAGATCCCCTACAAGCGACCACAGCCTCAGTCAGGTCGCTATGGCAACCGACCATCCTCCTACGGTGCACCCTGTTGCTACCTGTAGCCCCTTCGTGAAGCCAGGCCAGATTGAGGATTGCAATTCTCTACAACAAAAGCATGACGCTGCTGCGAAAAAAGCCCACATTATCCCTCTGACGCCCAGGCCCATTCATATTCAAGGTAGTACAAAACGACACTGCACGTTCAGCACTGTTTAGTAGAGCTACACAATGCAAGACTTGCTAATCATTATCGGTAAATTGGCTTTTGCGATGCTGATATCACAGAAGGCTGCAATGCGCAAATGTTCACAATCAGTTCATGTTTTTTTTATTATTATTATAAAAAAAATAAAAAACTGTGCTCTGCGAACATCCTGACCAGTCACAGGTCTAGATGTGTTGCTGTGGGTGTTTTTTGCTGAATTATATTGTATAATCGAATAAAGTAGAATCGAATAAGTAAATTATTTTGATTAAATTAAAGCTGGCCAATAGGGCTATCACTGTTACTCTGCAGTCGCTTGATGACAGTTATTTAAGCTGACCCCAATATATAGATATATAGATAGATAGATAGATAGATAGTTAACATTATTCATTCCAGAGGGAAAGTCTAACCTATTACACAAGAAACCTATTACAGCAGCACAAAGTACAGTATAGAGCAAAATAAGAGCAAAAGTATTGTCGTACGCTATTATACATGCATACATACAAGAAGTAAAAATATGTAATAAAACATACTAAAACAACCATAAAAAATAATTTGCAGTACAAAATTAAATAAGTAAAATCGCAGAAATATTATGCAGGTGACAATGCAATGGTACATGTCACGTCCAATGAATTAACCGAGTGACTAAACACTGTGAACGATAACATATGTTAATAGTTGCATATGTATGGGTGTATAAACAAGTGCCAGTGCAATATGTAATATGTATGGATGTAATTGCTTACCTAGGCCTTTAATTCAGGCCATAAATGTCAAAAACCCACCTCTACAATAACACTAGGTTCTGCTACGGTCCCCAAGGGATTCTGGTCGTTTGTTAGCGCTAAGCTAATGGCGATTTGCGTGAACATTTTTTGGACTTGCTAGATTTAACACAGACATTTGAAGCTCCAATTCAGAGGCTGCATTTGAAGGCCGATTGCGTCACAGCGGTGCAACTAGGCTGTCCCATTTTGAAGCCTCCTTCATATTCAGCCGAGAAATGTATCCTGCTTCTCCATGGCAACAAAGGATCCAACGGGTGGATCCTTTGACATCCAACATATCCCGAGGTTCATCGCGTGCCGGCGAAGATTCATGAACATGGTGATGTCAGCAGAGGAGCAAACAGCAGCTGAGAAGACACTTTTAAATAAATGTATTGGGTTTAAACTGATTGGCATGGCACACAATACAGATGTTAAAAAAAGCCAATGTGGTCTGAAGCAAAACTTAGGCTAACGTTTCGTTTTGTTTTAGGGAGCAAGGAGCAGACAGAGAGAAGCATCTGCAGCTCTAATAAATGAAAAAAATTAAACAGTAAAATCAAAGTTTTAAAGAACTTTAAAAAACTTGACAAGAGTGGCGTTTCACGATGCACCGGTGAGGGCGAGAACAGCGGTGCTATGATACAAACAGGAAATCCGCCATAGAGTAGAACGTCTCATTTCAGTTCAGCCTTTGTAGGTCTTCGCAGCCTTTGAAGGACACGCCTTCGTAGACCGCGTCCTTCGAAGGATGCAGCCCCTGAATTGGGACATAGTGTATGATTCACTTGAAGCTTGTGACACACATATTATTATATATTTTACCTTGTTAGCTCGGGTCAGGCCACAACAGAAAATGAGAGTGGGCTCTCTCCCTTGACCTGCTGCCTGAACAAACACCAGATATTATTTAACCAGAAAATGACTTATGTTTATATTATACCAAAATACCAAATAAAACAACTAACGATCACAAAATGAACTAACCTGAAAACAAAAGAAACAAAAATACAACAAGCTGCCCTAACTCCCTGTTTAAAACCAGGAGAAAAGGGATAATGAAAACAGAAGGCGCTCGTCCCTTACTTCCCAAGTGTTCACAGACAGATTCACAGAATCTAACATCTAACAAAATTTACAAGCAAAGCAGAGTGGAGTGAAGAGTGCCAGGCTGGTCTGGACAGGAGTTTGTTCAGGTCACGTCAGAAGGGGGAGACAGCTCTCAATGTCTCCTAAAATGGTAGCTTGCTGACCTTTTATATACAGGAGGGCGCCCCCAAGTGCTAATCATGTACCTGCCAGAGTAGAAAAACAGACGGAACGCATAAAACGGCCGCAGACAAGCGCAAGAAAGGCTACTACGAGCGGGGGTCATAACATACCTTGTAGCTGTTTCACAGTGACACTTTCAGTCCTGGCATAGACCCACCGCCGCTGTTTTCCATATCTGACAACCCACTTGATTAGACCAGGTGTCAGCAACATGCGGCTCTTTTACTGCCCTGTTGCAGCTCCAGAGCAGAATCAGATTTGTAGGTAAAAAATAAAATAATCCTCCTTTACAGTAAAATAAAGCTCTGCTGATGGTTCAACACAGTTTAACAATAAATGGTCTTAAACTCTGGAGTTAATGTAGAACTGCTAATTCACCAGCCTTTATACCTGCAGGTTGGTTTCCTGATGCGTATAACCTGCAACGAGAAACACTCAGTTCCTCGTTCACCAGCTTCTTGTTTGAATTTTCCCGTTTTGCCCTAAATGGTGCAGCCGCCCCCTCAGGCACCATTTAAGGTGGAACAGGAAAATTCAAACAAGAAGCTGGTGAGTAGGAAGCTGACTGCAGCCTCATAAAAAACGAACGTTGAGAGATGTTTTACAAGAAACTTGTCAAGTCAAGGTTAATTTATATAGCGCTTTTTGCAACAGGCTTTGTTGCAAAGCAGCTTTACAGAAAAATTCAGGGTCCGACGCCCCATGAACGTCACCAGTGCTGACAATAACAAAACAGCAAATTGTACAGGAAATACGTTTTTAACATTACTATACTTTACTTTAGATAAGTTCAATAGAAACTAACGATATTCTACGTTTGCGGAAAAGTATCCTGCGAGAAAAGCGACTATGAGCTCACGCTTAAAACAGAGCAAAGTGAGTGCATTTTTGATTATCGCTGCTGTCGGAAGAAAACCTGGTATCTCCAGTTTTGTCTTTTTTCACTTTTTTACATAATTTGGAAATACCTGTTGCCCTTTACATTGTGTGTAAATTTCATGAAGATTGGACCAAAAGAAACGGCTCAAAATGACTTAGAAAAAAGTCTGGTTCCATTGACTTACATTAAAAGTAAATTAGTTTTTGTCTTTTTCTGTGAAGTTGTTATTTTAGAGATATGAGGTTTTCTTCCAACAACACTGTTATATTTTTTGGCCTGTAACTTGTACATCAGCACATACTGAGATATATTTACAGCCAAGATGGTAAAATAGACGTAAAGTATTGTGGCTCCCGAGGGGGTTTGATTTTCGTTGAAAGGACAAAATGGTTCTTCTTAACATTTGGGTTGCCGACCCCTGGATTAGGCTGATGTCTTAACAGTCAGTGATGTATCTGGGAGTTCCGGCAGGACTAGAGTGACCGTTTAATGTGCTGCCTATAGGAAATCAAAATTTAATGTGTTGATTTGTCACTCTGTCACTTGGGCTAATGGTTTATCTAGCTTGTTAGGCCTTCTCTTCAGCTCCTGAAGTCCCAACCAATAGGAAAACCTGCTTAGCGATATCTACTTAGATACCATGGAGAAAAACAATTCTGATTGGCCAGTTTTCAGCTGAGTGTTTGTTTCCATCCAAAACTTAATAAAGAAATAAGGGTAGTACTGTAATACTTGTGGAAATGCAAGTGTATATACAAATATATTGAACAAAATTAAACTAAAATAACACATTTTGTTTTAGTTCCTAGAAATCATGAGGCCTTCCTTGAAGGCCTTGAAGGCCCTGATACTTCCCTGCAGATGCAAATGCATGTAGTAGTGCAGTGTAGCAAAATTAGTACTTTGTCCACAGTAATTAGCCCTACTCTTTACTGTGTTTACTCTGTTTGCTAACATTTGGTTAGCTAAATTAATGAAACCAGTGGAAATACTTCATTTCCATTTATTCATAGTAACTGTTGGACAGTAATGATGTTGCGCCTACCATATTAGCCCTGTATGCATATGCCAGATTCTGTTTTGCATGTACTGTTTATATACCATTTGCATGAATAAACAAATGAGCAGTGCACAGACGAAATGTAAACCAAAGGTTATGTTTTCCCCGCCATTTAAGGATCATCTGGACCCGAGATCCTTCGTTCCATCTCTGAAATTCGTATCCTCACAAAACGGTTGAGAAACATAGTTTCAGATGTGTTCATGTTGCCTAGCTGGATGATTGCCTTAATGATGTGTGCACAGCTGCTAAATTTAGAAGTGTCTTCAAAGAGTTCCCCTACTTTAACTATGTGCAGTCTAAAGCACTGGATGATGTAAGTATCATTCATCCAAATTCCTTCCATTACAATTAAGGATGGGCGATATGGGAAAAATATATTATCTAGATACTTAAAGACATGAATAACTGGGAATGGAAAACAAGAAAGATTGTATATCAGTATGTGCAAAAATAAAATATTTAATAAAAAGGAACAGGAGAAAAAAAAATTCGATCAATATAATACAAAATAAAATACAAAATATATTACACAGTTTGTTTTCATTTAATACATTTTATATATTTACAACCACTTGACACGTACATTCAGCGCACCATTTTTCAGTGCACAATTGGCTCATATCTGGTCAGCTGCTTAGCAGTTTATGCTGTTACTGTACACTAGCTGTTGTTGTTTACAGTTGTTGTAATGATTCTAAATCTGTGTTTTTGTCCGGCTCTGCATTGTACAACCCCATTTCCAGTTGGGACGCTATGCAGAATGTAAGTAAAAATAGAATGCAATGATATGCAAATCATGTAAACCATATTTTTTAAAGGAAAATAGTACAAAGACAACAGATCAAATGTTGAAGCTGAGAAATGTTATTGTTTTTTGAAACGTATATGCCCATTTTGAATTTGATGCCAGCAACATGTTTCAAACAAGTTGGGACGGGGCCTGTTTACCACTGAGTTTCATCACCTCTTCTTTTAACAACACTCTGTAAGCGTTTGGGAACTGAGTAGACACTCCTGTAGATTTGAAAGTGAAATGTTTTCCCATTCTTGTTTGGTACAGGATTTTAGCTGCTGTTCAGCTGCAACAGTTTTGGGGCTCATTTGTCATATTTTTCATTTCATAATGCACCAAATGTTATCAGTGGGTGCAAGAAGGTCAGTTTAGCATCATGAATACTAGCTTTTGAACTGTGCACTGATAACAAGCTGGGTGGTCTTTAACCCAGAGGACACAGTGTCCTTGATTTTAAAAAGAATTTCAAATGTTGATTCATCAGACCACAGGACACTTTTCCACTTCCCCCCAGTCTATTTTAAATGAGCTCCGGCCCAGAGAAGGTGGCAGCGTTTCTGGATCCTGTTTATATGTGGTTTCTTCTTTGCATTTTAGAGTGTTAACTTGCATTTGTGGATGCAGCGACAAACTGTTTTCACAGACAGTGTTTTTCAGAAGTGTTTCTGAGCCCATGCAGTGATTTCCACTACAGAAACATGTCTGTTTTTAATGCAGTGCCGCCTAAGGGCCCAAAGATCACGGCCAGCAAACACTGGTTTTTGACCTTGTCCCTTGCATACAGAGATTTCTCCAGATTCTCTGAATCTTTTAATGTTATTATGTACTGTAGATGATGAAAAGCAGTTCTTTGCTGTTTTACGTTGAAAAACGTTATTCTTGAATTGTTGCACTATTTGATCATGCAGTCTTTCACAGAGTGGTGAACCCCTCCTCATCTTTACTTCTGAAAGGCTCTTTTATACCCAATCATGTTACTGACTTTTGGCCAATTAATCACCTGGTGTTTTCTTTCATTACACACCTTTACCAGCCTTTTGTTGCCCCCATCCCAACTTTTTTGTGTTGTTGGCATCAAATTTAAAATAGACAAATATTTTTCAAAAAAACAATCAAAATTCTCAGATTCAACATTTAATATATTGTCTTTGAACCATTTTAAATTAAATATAGGGTTTAAATGATTTGCACATCATTTGCATTTTGTTTTTATTTACATTTTGCACAGCGTCCCAACTTTTTTTGGAAATGGGGTTGTAGAAGTACAGATAATGCAAAGATGTACCTAAAATATCTTGTGTAATTTATCACTATATAATGATAACACATTTCCATATTGCCCATCCCTAAATGCATTCACAGTTAATTATGTAAACTATGTGTTAATTATGTGTACTATGTATCTTTTTATGAACACCTGTACTAATTAGCACTGAATTTCAGGTTCTTTACACCAGCAAGAACTTTGTTGCCTGTGCCCCCACTGGCTCAGGGAAAACTGTGCTCTTTGAGTTGGCCATTGTTCGACTGCTTATGGAGACCACAGAGCCTTGGAACAATGTCAAAGCTGTCTACAGTGGGTTACAATATGTTTCTTATTTTCTTATTGTTAATTGTTTATATACCAGTGGTCACCAACTCTCCTCCTGGAGAGCTACACTGGAGAACATGTTGCTTGAATTTACTTAGTTTGAATGTGTATATTGGTTCCACGAGTGAAATATGTTATATCAACAAAATTACTGTTTACATTTTTCTTTACTTTTCGCAAGAAGTGTGTAGATGTATATTATTCATGTGAAACCGATTTTACACATTTGAATTAAGTAAATTCAAAGCAACATGTTTTCAGTCTCCCTTCCTGCACAGGTACTATTTGGGTGGTGGGTCATTCTGAGCACTGCAGTAACACTGACATGGTGGTGGTGTGTTAGTGTGTGTTGTGCTGGCACAAGCGGATCAGACACAGCAGTGCTGCTGGAGTTTTTAAACACCTCAGTGTCACTGCTGGACTGAGAATAGTCCACCAACCAAAAATATCCAGCCAACAGCGTCCTGTGGGCAGCGTCCTGTGACCACTGATGAAGGACTAGAGGATGACCAACACAAACTGTGCAGCAGCAGATGAGCTATCGTCTCTGACTTTACATCTACAAGGTGGACTGACAAGGTAGGAGTGTCTAATAGAGTGGACAGTGAGTGGACACAGTGTTTAAAAACTCCAGCAGCACTGCTTTGTCTGATCCACTCGCACCAGCACAACACACACTAACACACCACCACCACATCAGTGTCACTGCAGTGCTGAGAATTATTCACCACACAAATAGTACCTGCTCTGTGAGGGTCCATGGGGGTCCTGACCACTGAAGAACAGGGTAAAAGGGGGCTAACAAAGTATGGAGAGAAACAGATGGACTACAGTCTGTAACTGTAGAACTACAAAGTGCACCTATATAGTAAGTGGAGCTGATAAAATGGACAATGAGCGCAGAAACAAGGTCATAATGTTATGCCTGATCGGTGTATATTTTATTCAAGTGCAGATGATGTACACATGTGAATAGAATAAGTTCAACGCACTACTTGTGAGTGAATGCCCATCTCTCTCTCCGGTTTGTTGTGCCCTCTGCATGTAATTTCAGTACAGTTTTTGTTGGTTTAAATTTAGTATTTAAATGAGCGTCTTTCTCTTTTCTCCTAAGTGGCACCAATTAAAGCCCTTTGCAGTCAGCGATATGAAAACTGGAAGCTGAAATTCGGACCTCTTGGGCTGAACTGCAAAGAACTGACGGGAGACACTGAGATAGACGATGTTTTTGAAATCCAGGATTCACATCTGATCATAACAACACCAGTAAGTTATAGCTAGGGCACATTTGTTCATGGAACATCACATTCACAGTATAACTGAAGTAGAACTTAAACATTTCAACTTCGTTTCCTTAATGATACATGCAACCCTTTCAAAGGAAAAATGGGATAGTATGACAAGGAAGTGGAGGGATAACTGTCTGCTGCAGTCAGTCCAGCTATTCCTCATTGACGAGGTCTGTATTATTATTATTATTATTATTATTATTATTATTTACTATCACTTGCAAGACAGTAATTTCAATAGCTGTGTCAGCGGTTTAGAGTTTAACGCTCTTCTTATCCCTGTCACAGGTACATATGGTGAAAGACTCAAGCCGAGGACCTACTCTTGAGGTTGTGGTCAGCAGAATGAAAGCCATACACACCTCCTGCATGGCTGCAAATGCAAACTCTAAGAGACACATGAGATTTGTTGCAGTCTCTGCCACCATCCCGAACATTTGTGATGTGAGAAAATTCAATAATGTGCCATATTATCGCTGTTGCAACAAAACCTCATATCTCCAAACAGGCATGTGCACAGAGAGACCTTGGAGGGGGGCTGAGCTCCTGCCCCTTTGCCTTCAAACTGTACAAGTGCCCTCTTTGTTGGTGTGTAAAATAACTGTACACACAGCCATTCTTTACTGTTCTTCAAGATCTGTTTCAGCGACATGAGGCTCAGTCAGAGAGCTTGTTGCCTGGCTTGGGTTCTTGGATCCATCATGTTTGGGCACCCCCTCTAGTGCAGTACCACCCACATATAGTTCTCTTAATTCCGACCTGTCACGCATCTCCACTGTGGGAGGCAAATCCAGCCAAAAAAGAAACTAAAATTAAAAGCAATAAAATGCAAATGCAAACCTCTTTTTGCCATTTCTTTTACCAAACATCTGCGCAAATATCCTGTCAAGATTGAAAATGAAAAGAAATACCTACATTTGCAATTTCATTTTTCACATGAGCACGGGCCATTTGTGACAAAATTAAAAATAAATTTAAAACAGCTATTTATCATTTCATTTTAGTCATTATTCTGGTATTTCATGGCCAAATCTAAAATGAAAAAGCTAATAGAGGAAAGCAAATCCAAGCTTCGCTTTGGCTTTGGCTTTTCTTCATGAAATGTGTAATAAGTGTGAAAACTAAAATCAAAATGCAGTGTTTACGGTCTTATTTCTTTTTCATAGCAATCGGCTGCATGTCTGACAAAATGAAGATGCAAAATGGATAAATCAACAGCAAAGTGACCGTTTGTGATTCAGTTTTCGGCGTGGACGCGCTTTAAGTGTCAGAATAAAAAGGCAAATGCAAACGAACATCAGCGCCACCTGCTGGTGATTTACTTTTCATTTCCCACTTTTTCGTTTTCAAGTTGACCAACATGCAAATATATGTTAATTAGCACTAGGCGGGGCTACGGGTACATGTAAGGGCATCCTCAGACCTCAGAGTCAGAACGGCATCATTCCTCGGACTAAATGCAAGCCTGGTCGAGCAAAGACTGGTTCATATAACTTAGAAAACTATTGTGTATCTCGATACGAATGCCAGTATAACATTTTCACAGGTTTTTCTGACGGCGTTTGGTCTGATGTTCAGTTTCACCAGATCTTTTGTTTTTTGGCCGGATTTGCCTCCTATATCTCCACAGCACTGCAAATCCCACCAATAAAATGCTGATAATCTCTCTAAGAATGTGTCACATTTCGTAATGCGCTTGTTTTGAAGGAAATAATGTCAGCAAAAAGACATGTTAATAGATTTCTGTGTCAAATTTTCATTATTGTAAAAACTGGGATTCATTCGAGACTCAGTAGAGTTCTTAAATAGAGCTATAACCGAATACTACATAGTGATTAAATAGTGTAGCTCTCAGTGGGGACTGGTGTTCAAATCCCTTCACACACAGTATTGTTAGTGCCTTTGGCTGCCTTTGAAAAACACTACGTTTGATTTTATTGGAAACATGATTGCATTGACTCTCTATAAGAGTGATTGCAGTATACACAGTAAATTAAGTAAAATTTAATGTTTCCCTCTTTTCCCCCTTGAGCCCCTGTAACCAAAAATGTATGTGCATAGTTCTGTCTCCAAAATGGGAACTTAACAGGAGAAGGAAAAAACAGTCTTAACTTTGGACGAAAGTCAATGTAACAGTATTTTTTCCAAGTAATTCTGCACCACTTCTGTGAAATTCTAACACATTTTTAAAGGGCAGCTAATATTCTGTAAAACAAAACGTGTGTATACGGTTTTGTTTCAACAACTACAGTATATTAACACTATAGACTTAATATCCAGTTATGAACCTTAAGTTATAGTTTGGTACATATGATGAATTACTACTACTGTTACTAGTTCTGTTGTTCTGAGAGTGAAGAACTGAAGTGTGGATCACAAACAGATCCTCAACCTCTTACTGACCAGGGGATATTTTGGTTTGTCCACCTGAATTTACATGACCAAATTGTAAGGTAAATTATTCAGTAACTGCATGAAATAAACGTACATTTTTATTTTATTTATTTATTTTTTTTTGTAAAAGCTCCCCTCAAATGAACAGAAGTGTTTTATGATCACACATATTGCTATATGCGTACAATTTACTGCTGAAAGCCAAAAATCTTAGACGCTCTTTGTATTATTTTAAATATAAAAGTAATTTTTACAGAGCAGATCACTGAAGAGACGCCATCTGTTTATAGTTTATAGCCCAGATTTGTGGAAAAATGGGTCGACTTTCAGTAGAAAAAAAAATTGTGAGTTCAGCTTCTTTTATTATAAGGGTTTAAAATTACATCACCCATCTATTTGACTGGAAAGAAGACAGTTACAGCTCTCATACAACCCCCACCTTTAGAACGTAGCTTATGAAATATGACAGTTATGAAGAATATGACAAAGTGCGTTTGGGAACCACCGTTTTCAAGGAGTTGAAAACGTTAAGAGGTTAAGATGCAGGCTTATTATTCAGTTATGTGTCTTAAAAGTCATGATTCAGTAAATAGTATGAATGATTTTGTAGCTGCAATGAAATTATAAAACCATTGTATAAGCTATGTTGTTCTGAGAGTGACAGAATGGAAATTTAGTCCCACATACATACCCCTTTTACATTTAAGGTTAATTGGACTTTACTGTAATGATTGAGGTCATTTCTTTGTCATTCTGTAGATAGCTGATTGGCTATCAGATGAGCAGGGCCCAGCTACTTGTCTGGAGATGGATGAGAGTCATAGACCTGTGAAATTGAGGAAAGTAGTGCTGGGATTCCCGAGTGGAAACAACCAGAATGAATTCAGATTTGACCTCTCCTCAACTACAAAATGGCCAGCATCATCCAGACCTACTCCGACCAGAAGCCAACACTGGTGGTGAGTCTAAAGCTTCATGTTTGCATTACCAGGCTGAAGTGGCACAAATCCGATTTTTTGCCCTAATGTGACTCAGATCTGATGTTTTCAGGGCTGTGTGAACACAAATCTGATCTTTTCAAATCCGACCTGAGTCACTTTCACATGTGGTCCTAGATCGGATACGTATCCGATTTGTGGCCATGCGACCTTAATGTGACGCTCAGATCAGAATTCATGTGCTTTTTTTCCACTGCGCTGCACCATCATTCAGCGTTACCATAGCAACAGCACTGAACAGAAGTTAAAGCCTGTAAACAGTGGAAAAGCAGCTCATCTCACCTTTTTCGCCTTCGTCTCGCTCTAATAATGAAGCTGAGAGCTGATCAGAGTTAATGATCTTCTCAGCGAAGCTCGTTCTGCTCGTTAGTTTGTGCTGATGATGAACGTGATTCATTCACGTGACGTTACTGAGTAGGATGAGCTCATGAGGGTCATTTCAGGATGCCGGTTCACATTAATGACAGATTTGAATCACTTACCTAAACGAGTGTGAACCATCGTGTCAGAGAGATCGGATTTAAGCAAAAAATTGGATTTGAGCGATGAGGCTTGTAATGTGAACGTAGCCTAACTGCACAGTGCAGTGTTTGTATCATTTTTATGATACTGACTTTCACAGTACTGACAGCATAGTAGACTGCAACATGCAGATGAGCCATAAACCTTTACTGAATGTTTTAGTAGTAGTACATTTTCTTTTTCTAGGGCAGTTTGGTTGCAGTATAATTGAAAAAGACATAGAATTATACATAATGTTACATAATATTAGGAAGTAAATACATAGCATAATGTAAGATGTACAGTTGTAAGCAAACGTTTGGGCGCTCCTGGTCAAGTTCCATGTTTTGTAGATTAAAGTAAAAATAAGTGAGAAAGCATACTCTCTACGGAGAACACACTTCTGCACATTTTAATGCACAATTACTGTTTATTTGCTGAATTTAACACATTAAGGGGAAAAACATAAAATGTGGTCTGTGCAAAATATTTGGCACATTTTTTGTTTTATGTTTTTTCCCTAATTATTTCAACTCAGCAAAGTTTTGCAGAAAAAAATCTACCTGTAAGGTTGTTCCCGTTGAGGATGTGTGAACATATTTTAACTTGAAAAATCAACAAAATGTCATTTGTCCAGGGTGTTCAAACATTTGCCTGTAAGTGTACACCGATCAGGCATAACATTATGACCAACTCCTTGTTTCTCCTTGTCCATTTTATCAGCTCCACTTACTATATAGGTGCACTTTGTAGTTCTACAGTTACAGACTGTAGTCCATCTGTTTCTCTGCATACTTTGTTAGCCCCCTTTTACCCTGTTCTTCAGTGGTCAGGACCCCCATGGACCCTCACAGAGCAGGTACTATTTGGTTGGTGGACTATTCTCAGTCCAGCAGTGACACTGAGGTGTTTAAAAACTCCAGCAGCACTGCTGTGTCTGATCCACTCAGACCAGCGCAACACACACTAACACACCACCAACACGTCAGTGTTACTGCAGTGCTGAGAATGATCCACCACCCAAATAGTACCTGCTCTGTGAGGGTCCATGGGGGTCCTGACCACTGAAGAACAGGGTAAAAGGGGGCTAACAAAGTATCAGAGAAACAGATGGACTACAGTCTGTAACTGTAGAACTACAAAGTGCACCTATACAGTAAGTGGAGCTGATAAAATGGACAATGAGCGTAGAAACAAGGAGGTGGTCAGAATGTTATACCTGATCGTTGTGTATTGTAACACGTAGCAATATAATATTTTTGTCCATTTTGACATTCAGTGGTTTTTTCCACTTTCATTTGACTTTTTTTTTAATTGCTGCTGATTTTTATTATCGTTCTCAAAGTTTTGCTCCACGAGGAAAGGAGTCCAGCAGTCTGCTGCAGTGCTCGCCAAGGATGCCAGATTCATTATGAGTACTGATCACAGACAGCGGTGTGTTCACTTTTTCTTGTTATCTTTCTCATATAAAGGAGAAACTCATTATTTTTGTAATGTGGACATGACTCATTGACTCATTGACTCACTGTCTTGACTCATAGGTTGATGAAATATGCCAGTTCTGTTCTTGATTCAAAACTCAGAGGTTGGTACATCTCTTTTAGTTATGTCCTGAAAACCATCTGGGTAATCTCCCTGCACTGACTGTTGACTGAAAAATACAGTCGTGTGCAAAAGTTTGGTATACTTCTCATCAAATTGCATATTTTGTTGATTTTCTAAGTGAAAATACACTACACACCCTCTAAAGGGAGTAGACTTGAATCTGGCATTTTTCCTCCAAATTTAAGGACATATATTAATGAATTTAATACATTAATATAATATAATAATATATTACATAATATTAATATAATAATATATTAATATAAAGCATAAAATATGCTTTTGCACAGGCTAAATTTTACGTGAAACTCAGCAAATAAATATATATATTTAGAAAATGAACAAAACATGCAGTTTGACCAGGAGAGCCCAGATCGTTGTTTGTGTGTTGTGTTGACTGATGTTGTGTTTTCTCAAATCTGCCCTCATTCAGACCTGATTATGTGTGGTGTTGGATATCACCATGCTGGCGTCAGTGTGTCAGACAGGAAAGTGGTTGAAGATGCATTTACAGTTGGTGACTTGCCTGTCCTCTGTGAGTGCTGCTTACATTTTCATTGAAATCAGCCACGTGGTGACCTACACTGTTACATGAATGCTGCTATGTATTCAATTCTAGGTAGCTTACTTTAGTTGCTTTCAAATATTAGCTTCTGTACCTCCCCAATTTGGGCAAAGCACAGCTCAGATAGTAGTTGGCTGGCTAGCTAACATTATTTTATATGAAGACTGTGACAGTTCCAGGACTATTTCATTTCAAGGAGGACCTTCTGGGCAACATATAGTTGGAAGAAAAGTTAGCTAAACAGCCAGTTTTTTCGTCCATGACTATTTTATATAGCAGTATTACATATAGCCGCAGCTGCTGCCCCTGTTAAATAAGATGAAATCAAGGGAGTGTTTCAGCTAAACACAAACAGCTAAGTAGCTAACTGACTTAGGAGTTTGCTACTCCTTTCAGTGAAATGAGGTCCTCAGTATAATAATGTGTTAATTAAGCAATAGAACACTCGAGGTTGTGTGTTTATCGCGAATAACATCACAGCTGTGATTTGGTTGCCGTATATCATCATAGCCGTGATGTTATTGGCGATAACACACTCCTCGAGTGTTCTATTGCTTTTATATAACAGTTAAATAAATAAAGTAATAAATTCATAAACTGGGCCGTGAACGCGGCGTTTAATATGGTTTAATGTTCGCAGTTCCTTCACCAAATTATAGTTCCTTAACGAGCAGCTTGTTGCGACGTCAGAGTAATGAGCTCCGCCCACTCGCTGCTCAGTCTGCTGTAAGCCTCGCCTTTTGAAGCGCGGACTGAGCCATAAAACTGCCGCAATATCAAGTTCAGCTCAGTTTTGTCAGTTTTTGCCAGATCAGTATTAATGTTGTTTTGTTCCAGCCAGTCTGTAAAGCATCTTACAGCCCGTTTAGTTTGGCGAATGGTATTGGGTTCATTTCTGGCTGATTCCAGGTTGTTTAGCTGTTCTTCTGTCACAGCTGCCGACTGAAAAGCTGCTCAGTGGTGATGACAGTTTGGGAATTTAGTGTCGTCTCATCTTCAGAGTCTGACCAAATCGGCTGTCGGTCAAACGTGATTTTAAAAGTGTCCATTTTCTGTTTGTGGCAAAGTAAGAAGTAAAAATGTTCAAATGGCTTGAGCGTCTCCTACAGCTGTCAGAGTCATTGCTTAGCAGCAGCGTCTCAGCGGAGTGATACAGTGTTACAGTAAAAAACGTGATGTTATGGTAACAGCACAGTTAGAACGCTTCTCAACCAATCAGCTTGCGTAGCCGAAACTAACTGTTGTATGAATAACCAATAACCATGACCTACTGTGAACAAACAAAATAATAAAAATAACAACAACAATAATAATGCTAACAACGTAATATAATAATTAAATATTACGTAAATTATGTATTGAACATTCGTTTATTTGATCATGTTGCATTTTGTTCTCATTTTTATGAAGGCAGTAAGATAAGCAAGGTCATGTTACAGTGGTTTTACCATTGTTAAAAAGTTTTTACTCCAGTTTTCACCTTGACGATGGGTGTTTTATTTGTCTTTTAGAGCACAGTGTCTTATTAATGTAGCCCTGAATAGTTAGTCTGTTTGTATAGAGTGCATTTTTGTTTTTCATATACAAAAAACCCACAACCTAATATGAACATGCAAAATGGTTTGAGAAATGTATTATTTATTTAATCAGTTACCACCAGCACTTTGGCGATGGGTGTGAACCTGCCAGCTCACCTGGTGGTGATCAAGTCCACAATGCATTACATTGGTGGATCATGTGAGGAGTACAGCGAGGCTGACATGCTCCAAATGATCGGTAGAGCAGGCAGGCCACAGGTACTAACCTCATGACTAAACCTCATGACCACAGTACATAATCCTGAGCTAAACTGCATGTCCAGAGCACATAGCACTGAGCTAAACATGGTACTGATCCTGATCCTCAAGATCAGTACCAAAAAGTACTGTAAATCTCAGGATCAGAGCACATAGTACTGAACTAAACCTCAAGCTCACCACACACAGTACAGAACTAAACCTCATGATCAATACCAAAAGTACTGAACTAAGTCCCAGGATCAGAGCACATAGTACTGAACTAAACCTTAGGATCAGAGTACACAGTACAGAACTAAACCTCATGATCAATACCAAAAAGTACTGAACTAAGTCCCAGGATCAGAGCACATAGTACTGAACTAAAACTTAGGAACAGGGCTCATAGTACAGAAGTAAACCTCAGGATCAGAGCATATATTACTAAATTAAACCTCGGGGTCAGCGCACATAGTACAGAACTAAACCTCAGAATCAGAAAACATAGAACTGAACTAAACCTCAGGATCAGCACACATAGTACAGAACTAAACTTCAGGATCAGTACCAAAAAGTACTGAACTAAATCTCAGCATCAGAGCACATAGTACAGAACTAAACCTCAGGATCAGAGCACATAGTACAGAACTAAACCTCAGGATCAGAGCACATAGTACAGAACTAAACCTCATAATCAATACCAAAAAGTACTGAACTAAATCTCAGGATCAGAGCACATAGTACAGAACTAAACCTCAGGATCAGAGCACATAGTACTGAACTAAACCTCATAATCAATACCAAAAAGTACTGAACTAAATCTCAGGATCGCATAGAGCACATAGTACAGAACTAAACCTCAGGATCAGAGCACATAGTACTGAACTAAACCTCATAATCAATACCAAAAAGTACTGAACTAAATCTCAGGATCAGAGCACATAGTTCTGAAGTAAACCTCAGGATCAGATCACATAGTACAGAACTAAACCTCGGGATCAATACCAAAAAGTACTGAACTAAATCTCAGAATCAAAGCGCACAGTACTGAACCAAACTTCAGGATCAGAGCACATAGTACTGAGCCAAACCTCAGGACCAGATCACATAGCTGCCCAAAGCAGATGCAGAGGGACGATTGATTTGGCCCCCAGAACAGTTGTGACAGGCTGCTTGTACGAGATGGACTGATGTGTTTTTTCTCCTATTCTTTTCTTTTAGTTTGATACATCAGCGACTGCTGTGATCATGACCCGATCTCACACCAAAGACAAGTATATGCAGTTCATGAATGGCTCAGAGACCATAGAGAGCAGGTACAACACCATGCGGTTTGCCATGAATTGTCTTTTAGCAGAAGGACTTTTATAATGACATTTGAAGCTCAGATGAACCTATTACTGTATGTGATTCAGTGATTGGAACTCAAATCCTGTTTCAGTCTGCATACAAACTTGGTGGAGCACTTGAATGCTGAGATTGTCCTTCACACCATCTCTGATGTGAACATGGCTTTGGACTGGATTCGTTCCACTTTCCTCTACATACGGGCCCTGAAGAACCCTACACATTATGGTGAGACCCGCAAAGTCTTCCATCCTAAATTGACAGCACGGGTTAAATTTAGAGAATACATTGATCTGAAGCTCGGCGGTGGTATCAGACTGATTATTTGTATTTTATTGTTTTAGTATTAAACTTTAATTACTGTTCTGTGATTTTAAATAGTCTAATTTTGTACATATTATTACTGTAAATGATTTCAGTTTATTTATTTTGTTTATTTATTATACAGTACTGCATAAAAGTCAGAGACCATTTGTCATGTATTTAATTTCCAGTCAAAACAGTCATTAATGTACAAGTTATTCATTTCTATGTGTCAGGAAAAAAGCGGAAAACGTATGTAAGCGGGAATTGTCCAGAGACATCAGTAACTGAATAGAATTTCAGTTTTTTCAGTATTTAGTGTGTCCACCTTTACCTTTATGGCAGTTCCACCCTTTTAAGAGACGTTTGTTTCAGTTTTTAAAAGAAATCTACAAGGATATTTTTCTTCGCCTCCAAAGTTCAGTTATAGAAGTTGGTTCTGTTTCTTAAGTTTGTTTTCTGTTTGTGTAAGAGAACAGGGGCCGGTTTCACGAAAGTTTTCTTGAGAAGAAACTTGCAAAGGTTCTTAAGGCAAAGACTAAGAAGTTTCTAAGAATGCTCTTAAATGCAATTCTAAAAAAAAAAGAAGTTCTCAAAGGTTCTCTTAAGATAGTCTTAATTATTTTAAGAAAGTCTTCATTGTTTTCTTATGTAGGCTACGTTGCATTTTACCATGAACCATAAACCATGCAAGATACATTTTGAGTTTGTATTAACTGTTATTTCCGTTGTTTAGTTTAATCCACTCAGAGGAGCAAAATGGGGGAAAAATCATGAAACCAAGCTTTAAAAAAATTGAGCAAACAAGAACTCGAGGTGATGGTGGAAGACGCAGCCAGCAGGAAAAATCCTTTTTGGAAAACATGATAATTGTGGGGTGATGGATGAGGATGAGGAGCAGCAGAGGCAGCGTCCCTGATAAATTTAGATGCTAATCTTGTCAACTCTTACAGCCTGAGACAAGTGTGAGTCTATTGTAAGGTTAAGAAAACATGTTCAAGAATACCACTTCTTCTTAGAATCATTCTTAAGAAAATAGTTAAGAAAAGAAAATAAGATAATTATTAAGAAGTTATTTGAAGAATAACAATTTCTAGTAACTTTTGTCTTAAGAATAATATTAAGAATTCTTTCTTAAGATGCTTTCGTGAATCCGGCCCCTGATTTTTTTTAAAGCATGGTACTTCTAGACTGACATCTGAACCCTCTTTTGCACGATGTTGCCTCAGGGCAACAAACTCATTTTCCTCACTTTACAATAACGTTATACATATTTAAAGACAACGAAAGGGTTGAGTAAGTCAATAAAAAGCATGTGCTTAGTCATACTATCTCTTAGTCGGCACATTTAAACCTCTTTTTTTAACGTTCAGTATACTTTTTTTTGTGGTGAGAATTTTCAGAAATACGTTGCACAATGTTGCCTAAAAATATATATATATATATATTTTTTTTTAATGTTTTTGAGTTTAATAATCGGGTCTGAAAAAATAAATCAAGAGTCATTTTATTCAAGAAAAGTGAATTGAACTGAATATTTTTTTAATTGCTTTCATAAAGTGTGCAGTAGAGGGTTAATTGAAGTATTTTAAATTAAAAATAGCTCATTTTGAAGCTTAGTAGTTCTGGTGTCTGTATTAGCCAATATTGAAAGTTTAAGTTGCAGTATTGAAAGAGAAGTTGTTTTGTTCTGAAGTCAGCCTAAATTTGTTTCAGGTTTTTCCGCTGATCTTGACAAATGTGGAATCGAGACCAAACTGCAAGGTAGGTCAGGCAGGTCCAGATTGCCGGCATTAGTAACTGAAAATTGAGTGACTCATTACTGGTGTAATTTTGTTCTTCATTTTAGAGCTCTGTTTAAGAAACCTGAACTCACTGGCCTCCTTTCATTTGATCACAATGGACGAAGACATAAACATCAAGCCAACCGGTGATGAGTTGTACCTTTTTAATTTGTCATAATGGAGGGCAAAGCATATTCATATCTGGTCAGTTTTCTAGACAGATGAAGCTAAATCAATGAGACTCTCCATTTTTAGAGCTTTTTATCTTGAACCAAGCTTAAAGGGTCCATATCATGGAAAAATTATGTGCCTTTTCTAAGTGATAGAGTTATAGAGTTATAGTAATAGACTCCGTACATTCCATATATGGAAACTAAACTTCCTGTTTTGAATTCACTCTTTTGGTCACTAGAACTCCTTTACATAAATCCACCTGCTCTTTAAATGAGGCACAATACAGGGCAGCCAGTCAGAACAGAGATCATTTACATATATCAGTCTTAAAGGTGAGTACGAAAAACAGCCTGTTTACTTCTAAGGGATAAAGAGAGGTTTGAAAATAGTCATGTCAAAATGAATTATAATATATTTTCATATATAAAACCACACAAAATTTCTATGTGATTTTTTTGTTATGTTTTTGGTTATTGTTTCATTTTTATTCTGTTCTTATTTATTTTAATGTTGGCAAGCTATTGTTTTACATTTTTTATTTGTTTATTTATTTCATTAATTATATTTTGTATTTATTCTTATTTTGTCTTATTTATTACGCTACTATATTGTTGTAGTTTTAATGGTTTATTGATTTGGAATTTTTTTTGTTTTTTTTTAGCATTTGTTATGTTTTTACTATTTAACTTCTCAATCCCTGATCTCTGTATTGGCTCAGCTACATTGTAAATGAGGGTCTCCCTCAGTGTACTCCAAGTTTAAATAAAGATTGATTGAGTGATTAATTCAAAGTGAAAGAATTCAAAATAAGAAAAGTGTAGGAGGCCCTTTAATCTCTGTCTAGAAAGCTTTCCTTGGTATTTCTCTGTAGAACAGTCTATTCACTACATCACTGATTTTGCTAATCAGAGGAGTCTTTTGTGCTCAGCGAGTGGGAAGCTCATGGCTCGGTACTATGTTGCATTTGACACCATGAAGCAGTTTAGCAAGGTGACAGGTCGAGAAACACTATCAGAATTGGTGAGTGTGTACGAGGAATTTCTCTCATTTTCCCAGTTTGTTTTATGTAACTGTAAGTCAGGCTGTATTATAGTTGAACTGAAGTGCTTTAAACAGTACAGACAAAATTTACTGTCGTGGTCAGAGCTCTGTAGTGGATGTGATCACTGCTGTCTAGTAAATTTAGCGGTAAATTCGTAAGCAATGTGGCCGCATATCGCGGTCGCATCGAGACACGTTTTGTGCTGCGCCTGCATTCATAAGTGTTTTCATACTGTTTAGGTGATATTCTGATAAAGATATGAATTTCTGAGCTCAGCCTTTCACTTATTTCCACAGAATGAAGGTCATAGCTTATACTTCAGCAAAGCCTGTAGACAGAGTTAAGGGAATAGTGTAAAAGTTTGGACGTCCCTAGTCAAATTCCATGTTGTTGATGTGTAATTATACAACAGTTAGTTCCGGCCACGCAAGCTGATTGGTCGAGGAGCGTTCTAACTGTGCTGCTATTTTGCCATAACATCACAGGTTTTTCACGAACACTGTATCACTCCGCTGAGATGCTGTTGCTAAGCAATGACTTTGACAGCTGTAGGAGACGCTCAAGCCATTTGAACGTATTTACTTCTTACTTTGTCACAAACAGAAAATGGACACTTTTAAGATCACATTTGACCGACAGCCGATTTGGTCAGACTCTGAAGATGAGACGACACTAAATTCCCAAACTGTCATCACCACTGAGCAGCTTTTCAGTCGGCAGCTGTGACAGAAGAACAGCTAAACAACCTGGAATCAGCCAGAAATGAACCCAACACCATTCGCCAAACTAAACGGGCTGTAAGATGCTTTACAGACTGGCTGGAACAAAACAACATTAATACTGATCTGGCAAAAACTGACAAAACTGAGCTGAACTTGATATTGCGGCAGTTTTATGGCTCAGTCCGCGCTTCAAAAGACGAGGCTTACAGCAGACTGAGCAGCGGGTGGGCGGAGCTCATTACTCTGACGTAGCAACAAGCTGCTCGTTAAGGAGCTATAATTTGGTGAAGGAACTGCGAACATTAAAACATATTAAACGCCGCGTTCACGACCCAGTTTATTAATTTATTACTTTATTTATTTAACTGTTATATAAAAGCAATAGAACACTCGAGGAGTGTGTTATCGCCAATAACATCACGGCTGTGATTTGGTCTCAGGCACAAGCCGAAGGCAGTGTTATTTCGGATAACACACTCCCTCTCCTGTTCTATTGCTTAAATAAGTTACACGCCCTCTACAGAGACACACCTCTGCACATTTTAATACACAGTTACTGTTTATTTATTCAGTTTAATATATCATCGCTGTCAGATGAAAGACGTTTATCTCCGTTTTTAAAATATTGTTTTAAAATGCCAGCTTCTCTTTGGACCGAGATAAATGGTCCAAAATTACTTGGGAAAAAAACACCTTGTTCTGTTAACTTCCACTCAAAGTTAGGAAAGTTTTTTCCTTCTTCTGTAAAGTTACCATTTTTGTGTTGAGCTTAGTTGAGCTTAGTTCCTCTCAAGGTTCCTCATATTCTTTGGGAGTTTTTTCCTGTCACCCTTAGCTCGCTCAGTTGGGGCTCAGACCCTAATTTCTGTGAAGCTCCTTTGTGATAACAGCCGTTATAAAAAGCCCTAAGCGAATAAATTTGAATTTGAATTGAACTGAAACAAGTTCATTCAGAAACGCCGATGTAGCTTTTTTCCAGCTGCTGAAGCTGATGAAAGTGAATGGCCACCGAATAGCTTTATGCAAATGGTGATGTTCATTGGTGGCTACTAGCTTCCATTCATTGTTAGCCATGTTAGCATGTTTGGTCGATCTGTTCCTTTAACAAATCTTGGGACCGGATTCATGAAAATGTCTTAAGAAAGAAAATCTTCTTAAATGTGTTTTTTCTTAATTTTATTCTTAAGAAAAAAGTAACGAGAAATTGTAATTTTTTACCTTATTTTCTTTTCTTAACTATTTTCTTAAGATTGATTCTAAGAACAAGTGGTATTCTTAAAAATATTATGTTCATAGATGTTTTTTTAGCCTTACGATAGACTCACACTTGTCTTAGGCTGTAAGAGTCGACAAGGTCAGCATCTAAATTTATCACAGATGCTGCTTCTGCTGCTCCTGCTCATCCTCATCTGTCACCCCACAATTATCATATTTCCAGTGAGGATTTTTTTTCCTGTTGGATGTTTCTTCCACCATCACCTCTAGATCTTGTTTGCTAAAATTTGTTTAATGCTTGGTTTGATGTTTTTCCTCCATTGCACTGTCCTCTGAACGAATTTAAGTAAATAATAGAAATAACAGTTCGTTCAAATTCAGAAAGTGTCTTGCGTCGTTTATGGTACGGGGTAAAATGCAACGGAGCCAACATAAGAAAACAATAAAGATTTTCCTGAGAAAATCTTAAGAAAATAATTAAGACTTAATAATTAAAACTTTTTTTTTTTCGAGAATTGCGTTTAAGAACATTCTTACGAACTTTGTAGTGTTTGTCTTAAGAACCTTCGCAATTTCTTTCCTAAGAAAGCTTTTGTGAATCCGGCCCCTGACTTTTTTGTTGGTTTAACATGTACACGGTTTCCTTACTAGCACCAAACATCATGTTAGTAGCTGTTTGCTGAGGTTGCTTTGTGATATTACTGTATAATTTGGATGTAAACTAATCCTTTTATATTTGCTCCTGCTAGATTGAAATGATGTCAAAGGGCAAGGAGTTTAGTGATGTGCAGCTGAGAGTGAATGAGAAGAGAACACTGAACACACTGAACAAAGATAAGAACAGAGTCACCATCAGGTCAGAGATAGAACATTTCTAAACACACATTTTAGATAAAGTGCTTTTCTTCATCAGAACTAAATGGAAAAAACTCTACGTTTCCTTTTAGGTATCCAATGGAGGGAAAGATCAAAAGTAATGACATGAAAGTTAACTGGTATGTGTTGCTCTTCATTAATGTTTAAGTGGAACTTTGACTTCTTTTCTTTTATCATCATGTTAATCGTTATAGTCAGGGGCATATTAATGCTCAGGCTATCCTAGGCTGCAGTTTAAGGGCCCACACAGGGATCAGGGCCCACTGGGTGACCAGAAATTTTTTTTCACATTTTTAACAAAAACTTGAGCCCTTCTTGGCCCATTGTAGTGGTAAACACTTTGTGAGTTCAGGATTGGTTAGTTTGGAAAGGTTTGTACACTCTTAATATGGTTCTTCAAAGGTTCTTTAGTAAAGAAAGTGGCTCCATAAACACTCAAAGAACCCTTTGCATGATTAAAGGGTTCATTGCATAGTGAAACCCTTCTTCGGACTGATGGAGAATGTGCTGTAGATGATCTTATACAGAACCTTTTTAAAAAAGCTTTTACAATGTAAAGCTTGTAACAATAGAAGAACCTTTTTTGGTGCTATATAGAACCATTTTCAAAAAGGTTCTATGTAGAACCATCTATAGCACACTTATGCACATTTTCCATCAGTCTGAAGGACCCTTTCATGATGTAAATAAATAATCATGCAAAGGGTTGTTTGAGTGTTCTTTGTTCTATATAGAACCATTGTCTTTACTAAAGAACCCTTGAAGAACCATCTTTTTTGAGAGGGTAGGTCAGTTTTAATTGTTGGCAGATTCTACAACACTGTTTGTTTGCTCCTGCAAGTAAGTGTGTCGGAAAGGTCTATTAAATATGTGTTGGCTAAACACTGCAGAAGAGGGGACGCAGCTCCCCCTTCTTACAGCTCGGACTCAGCATTCTGGACTGAAATTGATGAACAGATGTGGGCTTACTGAGCCCGGAATCATGTCAGAGCATCAACATAAACACTAGAAGATGTGCTTCTCTAAACCGCTTGTCTGAAGGAATCTGGCAAATGGAGAGTGCGTGTAAAGAGAATCGCTCATATCTTCATCAGGATGATGTTGATTTTGAGATCATTTGAGGCCTAAACGTCATATCTTCATCAATGTATTGTTGATTTTGAAATAATTTGAGGCCTAAATGTCATACCTTTGTCAGAATGATGTTGATTATAATATAATTTGCGGCATATCTTTGTCAGTATAGTGCTGATTTTGAGATCACTTCAGGCCTAAACATCATATCTTTGTCAGTATAGTGCTGATTTTGAGATCACTTCAGGCCTAAACATCATATCTTTGTCAGTATAGTGCTGATTTTGAGATCATTTGAGGCCTAAACATCATATCTTTGTCAGTATAGTGCTGATTTTGAGATCATTTGAGGCCTAAACATCATATATTTGTCAGTATAATGTTGATTTTGAGATCATTTGAGGCCTAAACATCATATCTTTGTCAGTATAATGTTGATTTTGAGATCATTTGAGGCTTAAACGCCATATCTTCTTTGGTATAGTGTTGATTTTGAGATCATTTGAGGCCTAAACATCATATCTTCGTCAGTATAATGTTGGCTTTGAGATCTATTTAAGACCTAAGCATCAAGCCGGAACCAGTTGTAGAGTCTGTGTGTGTCGTTAATACATAGAGGCGTACAACATGGTGTGAAAAACTCCTGACACGACGCCTCTGACTTTTAAATGATTATTTCAGGCTTTGCGGGGCGACTTGCAGCAGCACAAGCTCACCATGTTTTAGCCTGTTTGTATTTTCCTCACTCAGTAATGATATTTACTTCAGTTTTAACAAAAACATTTCATATGGTGATGCTTTAAACTTTACCAGAAGTTCTTACTATTAAAACATCAGAGAGAATGTAACCACAGGAGATGAGGTTCCTAGAATTGTTAGTGAACAAAAACAGAAATATAAAGAAGGCTTTATAACCAGCACTCCAGGGGATTTACTGTGCATGTTCCCTTCTCACCACAGTTTGATTCAAGCTCAGCTGGGCTGCATTCCAATTCAGGAGTTTGGACTCACACAGGACACTGGGAAGATTTTCAGGAACGGAATCCGAGTTAGCAAATGTAATCTGCCTCTAAAATTAGTGTCATATTTGCATAATTACCTACTGTTTTTTTCTCGTGTATCAGCATCATTGTGTATTCAGTTGTATTGATGGTGTCAGGAGTCAGTATTTTAATGAGTGGGTATTTCAGTGTTGTGATGTTTTGTTTGCATTTTAAGGCCTGGTTGAATTTCTCAGTCACCACTCCAAGGCGAATTTCTCCGCTCAGCTCAACTCCCTGATTTTGGCCAAATGTTTCAGAGCCAAGCTGTGGGAAAATTCTCCCTATGTCTCCAAGCAGCTGGATAAGATAGGTGGGATGACTGTCTAAATAGTTTACATTATGCTGCCTTTGTTTGGGTGAAAACGAAGAAAAGAGTAGTGCTTGTTTACATCGAAGACATATCCAGTATAGTGTAGTGCTTAGCTTTTTGTTTAGCTACAATAATCCCAGATAAAGTTTTATTGAGTTCCTTAAATGCCCTCATTTGTTCCAGGGTTGTCACTCGCCACTGCTATGGTGAATGCAGGACTAACGTCATTCAACAAGATTGAAGCTACCAATGCCAGGGAATTGGAGCTGGTACATACTGCATATGCATCTCTATCTGCTATAGAAATATATTTCATGTTAATAATAGAGGTAGTACTGATCATTTACCCGCCTCAGAGAACCAATTGGATTAGATTCTGTGTCATAGACAAAGCCTGAAGTCAATTTTTGGTAATGCAGCATAATATAAAGCAAGGTACAGTACTGTTCAAAGATTTGGAATCAGTGTTTTCAATAATATAAAACCAATTTGTTGCATATACACCGATCAGGCATAACGTTATGACCACCTCCTTGTTTCTATGCTCATTGTCCATTTTATCAGCTCCACTTACTATATAGGTGCACTTTGTAGTTCTACAGTTACAGACTGTAGTCCATCTGTTTCTCTGATACTTTGTTAGCCTCCTTTTACCCTGTTCTTCAGTGGTCAGAACCCCCATGGACCCTCACAGAGCAGGTACTATTTGGGTGGTGGATCATTCTCAGCACTGCAGTAACACTGACGTGGTGGTGGTGTGTTAGTGTGTGTTGTGCTGGTCTGAGTGGATCAGACACAGCAGTGCTGCTGGAGTTTTTAAACACTGTGTCCACTCACTGTCCACTCTACTAGACACTCCTACCTTGTCAGTCCACCTTGTAGATGTCAGAAACGATCTGCTGCTGCACAGTTTGTGTTGGTCATCCTCATCCTCCTCCTTCATCAGTGGTCACAGGACGCTGTCGGCTGGATGTTTTTGGTTGGTGGACTATTCTCAGTCCAGCAGTGACACTGAGGTGTTTAAAAACTCCAGCAGCACTGCTGTGTCTGATCCACTCAGACCAGCACAACACACACTAACACACCACCACCACGTCAGTGTTACTGCAGTGCTGAGAATGATCCACCACCCAAATAGTACCTGCTCTGTGAGGGTCCATGGGGGTCCTGACCACTGAAGAACAGGGTAAAAGGGGGCTAACAAAGTATGCAGAGAAACAGATGGACTACAGTCTGTAACTGTAGAACTACAAAGTGCTCCTATATAGTAAGTGGAGCTGATAAAATGGACAATGAGCATAGAAACAAGAAGGTGGTCATGATGATATGCCTGATTGTGTAAATATATAACATAATTCTGTTTTGACACTACACTTAACCACAGCTGGGTAGAGGATAAAAAAGATACCTAAATACTAAGTAACTTATAGAACTGGAGTATAATTTCATCCAGCATCTACCTGCTCAGCAACTGAAGATTTTAGGCTCTGTTCTTCTCTTTTTGGGATTCGTTTGGTCTAAAATAAAATGAGAAAGTCAGAGATGTTCTCAATCACAAAGCATTACAAATGTTTTACTTAAGTATATGTACTTGAGTAAATGTAAGTAGTTACCACCCACCAATTTCAAAGAATCAGTGTAAAGCTGTAAAAATGAAGAAATATTGATAAGTCTACAGTGATGTGAACAGAGCTGTAGAACATCAAGAATGAGGTTGTAATAAAATGAACATACAGGTTGTCTTATATTTTAACAATGATTAAATCATAAAGCAGGTAGCTTATTAAGAAATTGCTATAAATTTGTTGTTAAATTATGTTATTTGTCATTTAATTAGATCTCTGTGTTCTCAGAAAACGTAATATATTGAATGAAACATCTCAGAAATGTTATGTTTATAGCGATCACAATATAATTGAATGAAATAAGAATTATTAATATGACAAGCTCGAACAGGCCTGGATAATTATCGCTGTTGTCAGAAGAAAACCTCGTATTTCCAAAATGGTAACTTTACAGGAGAAGGAAAACACCTACTTTTCTTTTAATGTAAATCAATGGAACCAGACTTGGAAAAAAGTCGTTTTGGGTCGTTTCTTTTGGTCCATTCATCATGAAATTTTCACACAATGTAAAGGGTAACAGGTACTTTCAAGTTGTGTCAAAAACTGAAAAAGCATCACAAAATGGAGATATGAGGATTTCTTCTGACAACAGCGATATGTTTTGTTGATTTTCTGGGTAAAAATAAGTTAACACGTCTTCTACAGAGAGCACACTTAAATATGGAGTTTTACTGCAAATTTTGGTGCACAACTTTTTATTTGCTGAGTTTTACATATTGGGGAAAAATAAAACTTACTGTGCCAGGACTTTTGCACAGGCCACATTTTGGGTTTTTTTCCCCTCGTTAAGTAAAATTAAGCAAATAAACAGGAACGATGCTTTAAAACTTGCAGAAATGTGTTCTATGTAGTAAATCAACAAAACGTGTCATTTGGACAAGGTACCTAAACTTTTGTATATGTCTAATATTTGTACGTGTTATACTAGACTTACAGTTTCTTTTCTTTAAAAATGTCTAATTTTGCGCACATTTGTGGTTGTTTTCAATTAAAAAAACATTCTGTTTGCTTTGTATTTCTTCCTGTAGGGTTAGTTGGTACTTAGATGTCCACCTTAAGGGAACTGCTTCAGTTAAACATAGATCATTTTAGGGCTTGGTGTATGTATCAGAAAATATTTATCATATGAATCTGAAAAGTAAACCACCTCTGTTGTGCCATCTATAATGAGTGTTCAATCTTTTTTAAAATGATGAATATTTAATCCAGCCCTCTGCTTTGGATCGAAGGGTTCTGGCCAAATACTGAGTCTTGATAACTGTACAAATTCCTGATCACCGTTTTTGTCCAGATTGTGAATCGACACCCTCCATTTGGAAACCAGATCAGAGAAGCTGTCAGCAGACTCCCCAAATATGAAATTCGTGTTGAACAGGTGACAATTTCTCTCTTTATATTAAATATTAGCTCATATAATCATGCATTTGAGTGGTATGTTCATTATATTAAAAGATGAATGATGCAGATAATTAATGATCAGAGTTCTTTGTTATGATGCAGTTAGTTAAATTCAAATAAAGTTGGTGAAAAATCATGTACTTTAGTCCATTTTTGTAGAAAACATAATAGTTTATAAATGGTTTAATTTATTTATGAATTAGTTATTAACACCTTAAAATCGTTAATAGGCAGGTATAACACATGAATAAAAAGGGCATCAGTGACCTGTTCCTTGCCAAATAGTGATTATCTATACTGTTAAAGCTCAGATCTTGCTGTTTACTCATCTTTTCGGTCTTCTCTATCTATTAAACCTTTCAGCTTAATTAGATATTTATTATTAAATAACTACCATTTAATCACCATCTGGATGTCTCACACTGCAAAAATAATATCTTTGCGAGTGTAAACATCTTAAATGAAGTCAATAAATCTAATATTTCTCATTATGAGACTGTTGTAAGAATATTATAAGATTGTTTAACTCATATCTAGACATTTTTACTTGTTTTTAAGCAGTTTTATCTTATAAAAGTGTCTTATTTCATTGTCAGATCATGTTCCTTGTTTTAATCATTATTTCTTGAAATTAGCAAAATTATCTTCATTATTTCTCCAAACAAGTAAACTAATCTGCCAATGGAATAAGACACTTTCACCAGATAAAATCACTTAAAACAAGTAAAAATGTACAGAAACAGGTGGAATAATCTTATAATATTCTTACAACAGCCTCATAATGAGAGATATTAGATTTATTGACTACATTTAAGAAGTTTTCACTTGTTAAAATATTGTTTTCTGCCGTGCATTAGTCACAAATGATCATTTTTCCTACATTAAAATGATAAAATTTGTAAATTCACATTCTGAGCTCTATTGTGCAATTAAAGATGTTTTCCTTATTTCTGTTGTACAGGTTACTTTTATTGCGTTTTCTCCTCTAGTCAGCGTTATCTGGGGTTTAACAGTCTAGACCAGGGCTTCTCAACCAGCTGTAGACCAAAAGTAATGAGTAAGAAAACATTAACTTAATAATAAGAAAGAAGTATTAAATGTTTACAGATGGTAAACAGTATTAATACAACCCCTGCAACAACAGCGTGAATAGGTGGACCTTGAGATAGAAAGGGTTGGGAACCCCTGATATAGATAAATATGGGCTCTTTATTTGTCACTGTTTCCCTTATTATTTGTGTCATAACTGCTTATTATTGATTTTAAGGAGATTATGACTAATTAATAACCATAAGAAACTAATTTTAAACCCTATTTGAGGGTAGTCCTATTGTAAAGTGGTACTTAGACAAAAATATGGACCAAATTGAAGGCCTGAAGCTGTCTGATCTGCTGGTTTTAGCTCTGCAGTGTACTTAGGTCAATCTTATAGATAACAGTGTGTTATACAGTGTCAGTAACCACCTACACGAGTCTATTAGAGATAACAGAACAACTCCATGTGGTTTGAAGTGAGTTTATAGTGGGTTAGACATGCAGTTAGCACCATGCTAATTGGTGGGGTGTGAGTTTTGGTCACCAGTTATTTTTTTTATAATTGATGACATTGAGGGCAGAAATTAAGTGAATTGATTTATTGTTTAATTGTTGCTTTCAATCTTAATTTCTTATCAGCTTCCGCGATACAGTGTCTCCACAGCAGATATCCTGGTCACAGTGAACTTGAAGAACTTCGAGCAGCTCCTAACCAAAAGAACTGCCCCGGACCACCATTACGTCACTCTCATCATTGGAGATGCTGACAACAACGTGGTCTTCCAACAGAAGATCTCGTAACACCCAGATTGTTTAGTCTCAAGTGTTTATTGTTAATGTTTTTAAGGAACTTCCAAAAAAATCTCATGTGCATGTCATATTTTAAACAGGGACAATTTACTTTTGAAGTCTGGGAGCTGGACCAGGAAGGTAGATGTTACAAGAAGTTCACAGAAAGATGAGATCAGCATCAATTTGATAAGCTCTGAATACGGTGTGTTAAATGTAGTGTCTCTCTAGCGATTCACATACAATATTTCAGTGATTTAAGGTGAACATTTTGTTTATTTGCTGAGAAACTTGTTCCGCATCACTAAAATAAAAGATTATAAAATTTAGCAATTGCACAGTAATAGTTTAGTGGCACACAAAAACCTCAAATGTTAGACATATACAAAAGTTTTGGTGCCCCTGTTCAAATGTTAGTGCAAGTTAGCACATTATCTACAGAGAACGCACTTCTGCACATTTTAATACACAGTTGCTGTTTATTTGCTGAATTTAATATTGGGGGGAAAAAATAATATAAAATATATGGCATGTGCAAAAGTTATGGCACATTATATACTTTTTTCTCATTATGTTAAACTCAAGTGCAAATAAATAGAAACTGCACTAAAATTAGCAGAAAATGTCCATATTTAAGTTAAAATAATACCTATTTTCACTTTCAAAATTTTGCATGTACACCTTGCATTAAGACAAATTTAAGTGATTTTATTGTGTCAGTTTTTTCCATTTAACCATTTCTGGCCTCTCTTTGGGGAAGCCGAGTATCATTCGTTGTTAACATCCAATACCTGGATTATCTAACAAAACTTCATTACATAAATCAGGTGCTGCTGTTGGAAATTTACAAATCCATGGCTGGGAATTTCAGGGAGAAATCTAGAACCATACTTTGTTCTTCTAACCAGTAGAGAAAAGACAAAAAATGACTGAAAATTAAACCAAAATTTAATTGGCAAAAGACCATAATACATATATAATTCTCAAAATTTTTATTCCAGCAAAACAGTTATTGTGGCTTGGCCTTTAGTCTGTGAGAACAAGTTTGAACCATTTTGTTTGGAAACTTGTTTTATTTGCCCATGATGGACGTAGTGAGCTCCTGATTGCACCTTTCGGGTCTTTGTAAGCTGCTTTTTACTGTGTATCAGATTTCTTTAAGTTAATTGATGCAGTGTGTTTGTGTATATGGTGTGCAGTGGGTCTGGATATCCAGCAGAAATTCAGTGCCTTCTACTACGGAGCAAAGACGTTCAGAGCTGAATCATACGGTGTGGAGACTCCAGAATCTAAGCTTCAGAGAGTACAGGAAACATCACAGAGAGCCGCTGACTCAGCGCCGAAATCTCACACAGCCACCCTGAGAGCTCAGACCACAGCACAGAGAGATCAGTATAAACACCTCTCTGATATCAGAGGTATGATCAAATACACACCCTTTTGTTTTTTAAAACATTCAGTCTGTCACTGTTTACCCATACAAAAAATAGTATTTAAACAATAGAACAGTGGGTGGGGGGATTCTGTGGCTTTTATACAACAACTTTGCAATGGAAAGAAAAAAGTAAATCAAAGAAGTTCCAAACACGATTACAGATATGTTTTTAAAGGTGCCATATCCTACATTTTTCCCCTAAAGCTCATCATTACATTTGTTTGTGTTTAGTTTATCAAAAACAGCCATAACTTTATGTGACCATTTTCCAGCCTCTGTTTATCCTTTAGAAATAAAACTAACCCAACGTGAATGGGCGAAGCTGCAGTGTATTAGAAAATACAGACTTTTTTGCTATTAAGACCCTGCACAGTTGCCTTTTTTGTCTTGTCTTTTTTGTTGACACTAAAGATTTTGTGTAATTAATTCATCATTTTAGTTTATAAGGAGGGAAAGGTTCTGACCTACGCCATCTGCTGGCTGCATTCAAAACATTCTGAATCACCATTCATTTCTCCATAGGGACGTTTAATAATGGATAAACATCACCTAAGGCTGGAACTTTTGTGAAACAGGTACAACCCTGTTATCAAAAAAGTTGGGATGCTGTGCAAAACATAAATAAAAACAGTATGCAGTGATATTCAAATCATTAAAATCCTATATTTAATTGAAAATAGTTCAAAGGCAGCATATTAAATGTTGAAACTGAGGCATTTATTGTTTTTGAAAATATATGCCCATTTCAAAAAAGTTGGGACAGGGGCAACAAAAAACTGGTAAAGCTGTGCAATGCTAAACAAAACACCTAGTGCAACATCTCACAACTAATTAGTTTGATAGGCTGCATGTCAGTAACATGATTGGGTATAAAAAGAGCATCACAGAGAGGCGGAGTCTTTCAGAAGTAAAGATGGGGAGGGGTTCACCACTCTGTGAAAGACTGCACGATCAAATAGTGCAACAAGAACTTGTGGATTTCATCATCTATGGTAAATAATAGTATCAAAAGATTTAGAGAATCCAGAGAAATCTCTGATTGCAAGGCTCAAAGCCGAAAACCAGCACTGGATGGTCATGATCTTTGGGCCTCAGGCTGCACTGCATTAAAAACAGACATGTTTCTGTAGTGGAAATCACTGCATGGGCTCAGAAACACTTCTGAAAACCACTGTCTGTCAACACAGTTCATCACTGCATCCACAAATGCAAATTAAAACTCTACCAGAAACACAGCTGCCTTCTCTGGGCCCGAGCTCAATTAAGATGGACTGAGGGGAAGTGAAAAAGTGTCCTGTGGTCCAACGAATCACAATTTGAGTTTTTTTTTTTAAATTATGGACACTGCGTCCTCCAGGTTAAAGAGGGGAGGAATCACCCAGCTTGTTATCAGAGCACAGTTTAAATGCCAGCATCTGTGATGGTATAAGGGTGCATTGGTGCACATGGAATGGGTGACGTGCACATTTGTGAAGGCGCCATTAATGCTGAACGATATGTACATGTTTTGGCTGCCATCCAGTCGATGTCTTTTTCAGGGAAGGCCTTGATTATTTCAGCAAGACGATGTCAAACCACATTCTGCATGTATTACAACAGCATTGCTCCATATTTAAAGAGTCCAGGTGCTAAACTGACCTGCCTGCAGTCCAGATCTGTCACCACTGATAGCATTTTGCAAATTATGAAACAAAAAGTACGACAAAGGAGACCCTGAACTGTTGAGCAGCTGAAATCCTGTATCAAACTAGAAAGGGAAAACATTACACTTTCAAAACTACAGCAGTGTCTCCTCAGTTCCCAAATACTTACAGAGTGTTGTTAAAAGAAGAGGTGATGAAACTGGTAAACAGGCCCCCGTCCCAACTTTTTGAAACGTGTTGCTGGCATCAAATTCAAAATGGGCATATATTTTTCAAAAAACAACACAATTTCTCAGTCTAAGCATTTATATGTTGTCTTTGTACTATTTTCAATTAAATATTCACTTCCCAACTTTTTTTGGAAACAGCATTGGCAACATAATTGCCAAAGATTGATTTGGGCAAGGAAGATAGTTTGAAATTGGGGAAAGTACTGTTGCTGACCTTCAACAGCCCAGTGTGTGTTTTTTTTTTAAATAAATTAGCAACATATTGCAGTATATTCTATTTCCACCTACAGCCTAAAGAACATGTTTGTGTGCATCTGGTCAAATATTTTTTTTTTTTGTTGATTTTCTAAGTGAAAGTATGTTAACAGGTCCTGTACAGTGAACAAACACCTGCACGTTTTAATGCACAATTACAGTTGGTTTGTTGAATTCAGCATAAAATGTAGCCTGTGAAAAAGTTATAATTTCATATTATATAATTTTTCTTTTATTATATTTTGTGTTATGTTTATTTTTTAAATTCAGCAAATAAATAGTGCACTAAAATGTGCAGAAACTGTAATTTTTAAGTTTGTTCTCTGTAGAGCAGCAGTGACCCCTGCAGGAGAGGATCTGTTTATTTCCAGTGAATCAAAATTACTTTCACTTAGAAAATCAACAAAACATAGAATGTGACTGAGAGTGAGAGTGTTCAAACTTTTGCATACGACTGAAGGCAGGGCCAGCTGTTAACCGCAGTGTTATCCTGAAAGGTACTGCTTTAGTATTTCTGTCTCTTTCCACAGCAGATCCTGTTCAGACAGAGCCTGGCAAAAGGAAATGTAACCATTTTTGTAAAAACAAGGAGCTCTGTGGTCACGACTGCTGTGAGTACCAGATTAGCAGAAGTATGTGTGGCTCTGAATCCTGATAATGAAATGAAATTCAGTGAAATAATGTTGGTTTTTGACTCCTCTCCTTTTTTTAGGCAAAGTCGGAGTGCAGGTGGTGAAAAGGCCTCTGAATCCAGAATCCAATATCTCATCCTATCTCAGAGATCTTAAGATGAGGAACGAGAAACTCATAGAGACGCCAGTCAAACGTTTGAAGGTCCCTCTTATTTCACTTATTATTTTATACACAGAGATATTGTACAGTAGATACTGCGTATTGAATTGCATTGAATTGAACTGAATAAACATCATTTGTCCCCAAGGGGCAGTTCATAACTGGGCATATAAACACATGACACAAATATCTAACATAGAGACAACTAAAGACAAACATCATGTGAACGTGATTATTGTCATTTTGGGTGCTCAAAATCTTTGAATAATGGTGATGTTTACTTTCATAGTTTCCAAAAAACAGATCAAAGTGCTCTACAAGGAAGAATGATACAAAATGACAAAAATGGCTGCTTTGGAAATGTGTGCTAAAGTGGAAAAAGCATAATATTACCACATTTAATATAGTGACTGCTTCGTTTACTCAAGGTGGTAAATGTAAGTTTCTGTTTTCAGTAACTTCGTTGTGTCTTTGCAGATGAGAATGAATGCTGAGGCGGAGAACCTCAACATGCAGCAGTTCTCCTACAAGCGTAAAGACCCAATTCCAGCTCACACAAGGTATGATAGTGTTCGAAACTGGACAGCGAATGCTGCAGTACCTTTATGGTTCTGATGTCCTAGGTTACCTGCTTTAAATTCTTTATTTATTTATTTGCATTGACGTAGTCTGTGATGCTTTTTTTTAACCAAAGGTTTGAGGAATATCAGTGTTATCCTCAAAGTGTGGAACCAGAGCTGGGTTTAACCATGCCTGCAGAGACGTCATATGATGGTAAGCACGTATATTTAAAATCCTCATGTTTTTACCACAGTCAGAACTGATTTTGGCTCAGGCAGCACTTGGTTTTCAAATCGGTTTCTCTGTTTTAAAAGAGACAGATATACACCGATCAGGCATAACATTATGACCACCTCCTTGTTTCTACGCTCATTGTCCATTTTATCAGCTCCACTTACTATATAGGTGCACTTTGTAGTTCTACAGTTACAGACTGTAGTCCATCTGTTTCTCTGATACTTTGTTAGCCCCCTTTTACCCTGTTCTTCAGTGGTCAGGACCCCCATGGACCCTCACAGAGCAGGTACTGTTTGGGTGGTGGATCATTCTCAGCACTGCAGTAACACTGACGTGGTGGTGGTGTGTTAGTGTGTGTTGCGCTGGTACGAGTGGATCAGACACAGCAGTGCTGCTGGAGTTTTAAACACCTCAGTGTCACTGCTGGACTGAGAATAGTCCACCAACCAAAAATATTCAGCCGACAGCGTCCTGTGGGCAGCGTCCTGTGACCACTGATGAAGGACTAGAGGATGACCAACACAAACTGTGCAGCAGCAGATGAGCTACCATCTCTGACTTTACATCTACAAGGTGGACTGACAAGGTAGGAGTGTCTAATAGAGTGGACAGTGAGTGGACACAGTGTTTAAAAAACTCCAGCAGCACTGCTGTGTCTGATCCACTCGTACCAGCGCAACACACACTAACACACCACCACCACGTCAGTGTTACTGCAGTGCTGAGAATGATCCACCACCCAAACAGTACCTGCTCTGTGAGGGTCCATGGGGGTCCTGACCACTGAAGAACAGGGCAAAAGGGGGCTAACAAAGTATCAGAGAAACAGATGGACTACAGTCTGTAACTGTAGAACTACAAAGTGCACCTATATAGTAAGTGGAGCTGATAAAATGGACAATGAGCGTAGAAACAAGGAGGTGGTCATAATGTAATGCCTGATCAGTGTAAATCCAGAGAGGATTCGTCCAGCAGATGGAGGTGGGACTTAAATCACAGAGTCTACTTTTTTAAACAGCACTGCTGAAGCGGGGTCACAAAGCCAATTTTAGTACAAGTGGAAGATACATGGCCTTTTTTAGTCAATAATGCTCTATCCTGCTCTGTTTTGATAAAAAGGCTCAAATGATTTCCAGCGTAATCCATCATAATGCACAGATCAGCATAACAAATACAGCTTTTTTATGTTCAATCTGCAGATTACAGTGAATACCCTGGAGGTTTTTATTCTGAAATGGAGGACACTGTACAGGAACAAACCTTCCAGACTAGTACAAACATTGTGCTTCAGAGTAATTTTTTTCTTCTATTAATTTATTCCATATGTTTGTTTTCTACCATGGAAATACAATGACAATTATGCACACCTACAGTTTAATACATTAATGATGCATGCAGTTGAGAATAAAACATAAATATGAACCACAGTGAGTGTTGTGAAAGCAGCCCTCTTGTGATTGTGTAATGTTTTTGTGGTAATGTTGTAGATGCTAATATGAGAAAAGACGGCTCAGAGAGACACGCAAACAGAATTCCTGCTAATAAAAGTAGAGCTCACGCAGCCAACTCACATCAAGACCACAGCACTGATAGCAGCTTTTTATCTGATGTCCTCAACGTGACTTTTGACCTGGCAGTGGACGACTGGGATGACTTTGATGATGCCAACTTGGTGCTTGCTAGCAACGTGTCTTACACTGCAAATCGAGAGACTCAACCAACAGGTGATGCAAATTTTCTTCAGCCTAAACATAATGACCATGCAGAAGTTCAGCAGATAATCACGGTTTGTTTACATTTTTAGATTGTTGGACTTCAGTTCCTCCTGTTTATGCAGAGCCTAAACCAACGTCAAGGTGATTCAGTGATCCTCTTTTATCTGTTTTATATATGAATTGTATGTGTTGCTTTGTTGGATTATGTTTCAGCAAATAAATTAACCTACTTTTGTGTTCAGGGCTGGACCTGCAACTTTCACATCACAAACAGTAAGTTCTCCTGTAGTCCAGGCTCTTGTAAAGAAGGGCTGCACAATATGGACAAAATACTGATATTGAGATGAAATTGCTACATATTGCGATTGTTATTTGCTTGAAACAGGCATCACTGAGCTCTTGATATGGTTAAAGAATGACCTGTTTTTGATTTTGACCAAAATGAGTTGCATTTGTTGGGTCATGTGAACGCCGTTATGCGTCCAAACGTCCACAGAAACCTACGCTGCATGGCCAAAAATATGTGGACACCCTTTCTAACCAGTGGATTTGGCTATTTCAACTACACTTACGGTTATCACATGTATTAAATCAGGCATACCATGCTGTCTCCGTACACAAACACACAGTAGAATGAGTCATACTGGGAGAGTTTGTCTATTACCAGTCCTGCTAGAGCTGCCCTAGGCAGCAGTAAGTGCTGTTAATATGGAGTGGAAATGTGTAGGAGCAACAACAGCTCAGCTGCAAGCACTTCCTCTGGGTTTGACTAGTCAGTGGCCAGATGAGTGTGCATGGCTGCCCTGCCTGGTGCCAAAAAGCATGTTTCTCTATTAGGGACTGTTGTAATTAGTACATAATCGCCAGTTGTTGGCTTTCACAATCATATGTTTACGTTGCAAATCCCATTAAAAAGAATAAGTGTTAGTGCTAATGGCTCTCTATCTAGGTCTGATACTACCTCCATAGGCTCAATTTATTGGCTTAAAATAAGCTCTTCTTCTTTATTCAGTTGTATTTAGAGATAATATCACTTATCACTTATGAAAATGTCATTATGTCATTGAGTTGTTACTAAAGGAGTTCCCCAGGGCTCAATGTTAGGTCCTACTCTGTTTTCTATATTTATTAACGATATTCCCCATGCTGCTTGTAATTATTCACTTATATGCTGATGACACCATCTTGTATGCCACTCGTCCTTCTCCTGCATCAGTAGAAACATTGGTCCAGGACAGTTTCCTCCTTTATGTTGTAAGCAAATCTCATTAAAAATAATAAGTGTTAGTGCTAATGGCTCTCTGTCTAGGTCTGATACTACCTCCATAGGCTCAATTTATTGGCTTAAAATAAGCTCTTCTTATTTATTCAGTTGTGTTTAGAGATAATATCACTGATCACTTGTAAACACGTTAATATATCGAGTTTTTTCTTATTTGTCTGCTAGAGAGTAAGCCCTGTTCTGTCTGCAACCACTCCAAAACATCTAGCCGCAAAACAGAACGATGCAAGAAATGTCTCACTGGGACGCCGATTTGATTTCTTCTCAAAGAGAGATACAGCGAACGGAGAACAGAAAGCTTTTGGCAGGTAAATGGAGAAATCCTCATGCTGTAGTCGTTCAGAAGTTTGTATTTAGTTTGCATTTACTGCTAACTGACTAAGCCTATCTACTTGCAGGGACCCAATGGTGGAGAAGGAAGAGGTTGACATGTTCCTCGGTATATTTGATGGCATTTTCTGAAGTGTCTTATGGTTGTTCTTAAGAATTAATATCTTAAACAGTAAGGAAGTTATTTATTCATGTATTTATTGGTTTTATCTTATTATTAAAATGTTTTTATGTAAATGTAGCTGAATTACATTTACAGTTTTTCATTAAGTTGTTTTCTCTAAAAAGAGAAATGTGGTAATGCCACTTAAGTTCATATGTATTAGTGAATCATTTTGTTACAAAATATTACTTATCATTAATAAATGTATTTATCAGCCTTTGATTCTGTTGATCACTCTATCTTACTAAACAGATTGGGCGGTATTGGGGTTTTGGATCACTCTTTGGCCTGGTTCTCAAATTACAAATAAGGTTCAGTGTGTTAAATTGGATAATTGTCTTTCCCTCTTCCTGTTACTCAGTGAGTTCCCCAGGGCTCAATATTAGGTCCTACTCTGTTTTCTATATTTATTAATGATATTCCCCATGCTGCTTGTAATTAATTTACTCACTTATGCTACCGGTCCTTCTCCTGCATCAGTAGTAACATTAGTCCAGGACAGTTTCCTCCACAGGTTTTCAATAAACTCCATTTATCAGATCAAAGTTATGTGGTTTGGTCAGAGGGGTGTGGAACCCCCTCCTTCCTTTGAGATCACGACTAGGGAGGGAGTGGTCTTGGTACTTAGGAATCCGGTTAGATAGTACATTCAAGTCAAAGGTTAAGGCGAAACTTATGCTTATTCGAATGATTGTACTTCCTCTGTTTGACCTCATTTATAGATTTGCATCCAAAAGTTTTCTTCAAAGCTTGACTCTCTTTATTACTCTGCCATACGGTTTGCTACAAATGTCCCTTTCAAAACGCATCACTGTGCTCTTTACTCATTGGTTGAATGGCCTTCTTTGACCACTTAACGTAAAATCCACTGGTTTACGCTCATCTATAAAATTCTGCTTGGACTTTCACCCCCTTATTTATGTGAGCTACTGCAACCAGAATCTGCTAATAGACGACTTTCCCTCGGAGATTAATTAAGTGATCTATCTATCTATCCATCCATCCATCCATCCATCCTTCTAACACCAGGTCGTTTATTTATATCAAGTTAAAAATCCCTAAATCCAGCATCGTTTCAGTGTGCTGCTGCTACGAGGTACACTAAAACAGGTCACTTTTGTTTCAGTTACCGCTTTTAAGGACTGAATCAAGAATATTTTTGGTAATATTTGTACATGTTTGTAATTTTTTAAAACTTTTTTTCTGTTTATTGTGATTTTCCTTTTCTTCCCCCTTTTCTTCCCTTCTTTTTAAAATTTATTTATTTTTTTTTACAAGTGTCTTGCAGCGCTTGCCAGGCCAACATTGTAAATAAAGAAAGAATATTCATAATGCCTCGGTTAAATTAAAGGCTAAATAAAAAATGTATTGATGAATAATTGAATTGTACCATGTGGTGCATTTTTCCAGGCCTGTGGAAATGGGCCAGCAACACCAGCATCTTCAACTGTGACCCTAATTGAATATGAAGATTTGAAGGCAGTTACACTAAAAACGGATCACGTGATTAATTACCTACAGAGCTACAGAGCTTCAGTAGTGTGTGTAATAATCAGATCATGCTGACCTCTGCTGGTCATTCAGGGGAGTGAATACAACCAGGCTTATTTGAAAAAGCTTTGCTGGAGTCATGCTGGCATTGAAACGAGAGGGAAACCAATATTTATCAGAATATTTATTTATATTCTGTTTATTGTTACAAAAATGCAAATGAGAAATTGATTGGTTGATAACGGGGCGGGGTTGGGTGGCACTACGCATGTTTAACATCAGACACAGTGATGAGGGGCTGCATTAAAAACGTCAGTGGTAAATGAAGGTGATTCTCTGGCGTATATCACAAAGCAAACACGCAGCACAGCGTTACGGAGCGGGGACTCCACAGAGGAGGACACTCTGTTCTTCATACATACTTCTGCTCCCTCTTTCCTCTCTCGCTGCCCCCGTCAGCGGACTGGGCCGGGACTTTGTAAGCGATTGCGTTGTAGTTGCTGCAGAACAAACAGAGACAAATCCAGAGGAGTGAATGTGTTTTTATGTGTGTGATTAAACTTGTAGGTTTTTAATGACATTTAAGGACCTCATTCACATCATTACTGTCTTCCCAAGGCTTCATTTATATCTACTTCTTCTTCTATCCCTTCTTTATTTTTTCTTCTTTCTTTCCTTCCTTTTTTCTGTTTCTTTTTCCTCCACTTTTTTCTTCCTCTTTTTCGTCTTTCCTTCGTTCCTCCCTTCTTTCATCCTTTTCTTTCACCCTTTCTCTTCCTTCACCATTTTTTACTTTCTTACTTTTCCTTCCTTCCTTTCTTCTTTCTTTTTTCTTCTTTTCTACCTTCCTTCCTTTTTCCTTGTTTCTTTTCCCCACCCTTTTCCCTCTTTTTTTTACATTCTTTTCTTTCGCCCTTTCTCTTCCTTCCTTATTTTCTTCCTTTCTTTTTTCTTCTTTCCTTAATTCATCCCTTTCTTTTGTCTTTTTCCTTTCTTCCTTCTTTTCATCCTTCTATTCCTTTCTTTCTTGCCATCTTTCTTTTTTCTTCCTTCCTTTTGTCCTTGTTTCTTTTTCCTCCACTTTTTCTTCCTTTCTTTTTTCCTCTTTCCTTCCTTCCTTCTTTTCTTTTTTCTTTTGTCTTTTACTTTTCTTCCTTCTTTCATCCTTCTCTGCCTTTCTTTCTTGCCATCTGTCTTTTTCTTCTTTCCTCCCTTCCTCTCTTCTTTCATCCCTCTTTTCTTTCACTCTTCGTTCCTTATTTTCTTCCATCCTTTTGTCTTCCTTCCATCCTATATCCCTTCCTTCCTTTCTCTTGCTTACTTTTTTCTTTTCTTTCCTTTTTCTGTCCTCCCTTCTTTATCTTTTCCCTCATTTTTCATCCTTCTCTTCCTTTCTTTCTTGTTATTTTTCTTCTTTCCTTCTTTTCTTTCACGCTTCCTTTCTCCTCTTCCTTTTTCTTTCCTTCCTTTACTTTTTTCCCTATTACATTTGAATTTAGTGACTCAGAAATATTATATTTCAGAAATTAAATATTTAAAATATTATATTTCCTTCAAGAAATACAAATCTAGTCATTGTTATTATAACAATAATTATTATTATTACTTCTATTGCTGCTACTTCATGTGTTGAAGTGTTGAAATAATAATAATAATAATAATAATAATAATTATTATTATTATTGTTGTTTTGTTGTTGTTTTTATTATTATATAGGTACAGGGACTTACGGTGTACTGTCAGCATGCATCCCTTTGAAGGCCACAGACTTTAAAGCTCCTCCAATCAGAAGCAAGCCTCCTCCTATCCAGGCCACGAAAAGGGCAGGTCCGAATGTGTACCTGACCGTTAGATAACAAACAGCGGCTGATGAAGTGACTCACCGGGTAGCTCCACCCCAGCACACAAGATAAAGGCAAGCAGGATCATAGTGCTACTGTGAATCAGTGTATTTTATGTGGAGTAGATTTTCAGCTGTGCTGGATGTTGTTCTTGTCTTACGTGGTAGCCATTCCCATTCCCCCCATCGCCATCTCGCCCATCCCCTCATTATAAGCATTGTAGGTGTTGGCGTAAGTGGTCGAAGCGAAGCTGGCCACTATCTGGTTGGCATAAATAGACGCTCCAATAATGGCGCAGAGGCCTATGAAGAACGGAGAGAGAATAAACGTGTGACTGAGACAGTTCCTCTCTTACACTGGAGTCCTTTCAGCCCTTTAACACAAAGACAGCATGCAGTTATCAAATGCAGTTTTCCGTTGATTTGTCATGTGAGCATGACTCCATTCACTTCCTAGTCCATACAGTCAATAAATGGAAACTGGGCTACAAAAACAGCCCATTTTGAATTTGTCATGGCTATGACATCACAACCATGAACACGTTTACATATAACCACCACATATACCATATACCACCAATTCGGCCTACAGTAATTCAACTCAGCCATTCACTTTAACGTGATAAGTAGTGTTGTTACTGCATGTCTTCACCCAGATTGCATATTAAATGAGGCACAGTGCACAGCAGCTGATCACAACATACAGCCATGTGCAAAAGTTTGGGCACCCCTGGCCCAAAATTTGACATATTGAGTGAAAATAAGTTACACATCCTCTACAGAGACACACTTTTGCATGCATTTCTGCATTTTAATGCACAATTACTGTTTATTTGCTGAATTTAACAGAAAAAATGAAATAAAATACATAAAATGTGGCTTGTGCAAAAGTTACGGCACATTTAATAAATACATATTTTTCCAATATGTAAAACTCAGCAAGTAAATATAAATATAGCAGTAAAATTTGGTGAATAAGTGCAAGATTTAAGCTTTTTCCCTGTAGGAGATGTGCTAAGTTGTTTTCACTTAAATAAACAAAACATGTAATTTGACTGGGTGCTTTGCATTTGACTGTATAGCAGTCTTAATGGCAGAGTAATAAAAACGGCCTGTTTAATTCTAAGGGATAAAGAGATGTTGGAAAAATTTTCCCCAAAATTCATTTTTGCTACGTAAACCCACACAAATGTTGTAAGTGGACTCTGGAACAATAAGATATAAGAGAAATGTAGAGTCTGCACCCTGTAAGATCGGATCACGTTGCCTTTGATTTCTGTTTACCTGCGATGAGAAACATGATGCCCGCTGTCAGGGTCATTTTGGCCTTGGTGGAGGTTTCAGTGTTGCCCATTTTAAAGCATTTCAGAGAGAACACGGAGATACCAGTGCCGATCACACCCAGCACAACACCGACCACCATCATCGCTCTCACAGCCTGGAACTGAGCTGAGACACAAAAAGAGATTCATTGTGAATTTTTAAATTGAAGGCATAAAAGCAGTAGAACACTCTAGGCTGTGTGAGATTCGTGACTTCTTCTTGTGCTCTACTGCTTCTATATTACTATTTTTAACAAATGGTCACTCTTAAGATGGCGTTATATCGCAACCTCTCCAAATCCTGCAACAAAGTCTGGAAATTATTTGGTACTGAAGTACTTTCTTTGTCTTTCAGGGGCTTAAAGCATTTTAAAAGGGAACTTGCGCGTCTGACTCAGCCGTCTTTGTTTGTTTGATAGCTGATAACAGTATTGACTGAATGTGGACCTGCACTGTTTAGTTCTGCATTCATCATCTCTGTGTACGACTCCGCCAGGCACGATCTAACGACTGGTCATTTGCCTTTGCTCTGTTGATATTAAAAAAACGCTGGGTACTTCCACCATTTTATAGTTCCATTTAATAAAGTGTGCGTTAAACAGAATGTAGTGCTTGTTTTTGCATCCATTTAATCAGTGTAATTACTCCAGTGTGCTGTGCAGCTACATCAATCTTCTACTCATATTGTAGATGTTCATTTAATCTCCCAAACCCTAAAGCCGCGTATTTGGCTCAAACTATGGCTCCTCAGTCTCAGAACTACATAATATATGTTTTTTGTTTCATAGTTTGTACTGAATAATTGATAGTAGCTACTGAATAATTACTCACATGATTCATTGTTGTTACTAAATAGTTCATAGATGGTACTGAATAATTCATAGTGGAAAGGGAATAATTCATATCAGATACTGCATAATTTATAGTAGATACTGAATAATTCATAGCTGTCACTACATACTGAATAATTCATAGTAGATACTGAATCATTCACGGTGGATACTGAATAATTCATAGTAGTTACTGATTAATTCATAGCAGATTATGAATAATTCATAGTACATCCTGAATTATTCATAGTAGATACTGAATAATTCATAGCTGTCACTACATACTGAATAATTCATAGTACATCCTGAATTATTCATAGTAGATACTGAATAATTCATAGTAGTTACTGAATAATTCATAGTAGATATCGAATAGTTCATAGTAGATATTGAATAATTCATACTAGATCCTGAATAATTCATGGTAGTTACTGAGTAATTCATAGTAGATACCGAATAATTCATAGTAGATACTGAAAAATTCATAGTAGATACTGAATAATTCATAATAGTTACTGAATAATTCATAGTAGATACTGAATAATGAATAGTAGTTACTGAATAATTCATAGTAGATACTGAATTATTCATAGTAGGTACTGAATAATTCATAGTAGATACTGAAAAATTTGTAGTAGACATTGAATAATTCATAGTAGATACCAAATGATTCATAGTATATACTGAACAATTAATAGTAGTTACTGAATAATTTGTAGTAGTTACTGAATAATTTGTAGTAGTTACTGAATAATTAATGGTATTACAGCATATATCTACCAAATCTGTATAATATAATTTATATAATAAGTTTTTAGTTAGTGAGTTTTCCGTTCTTTTCTAAGTGCAGGAAGGCAGTTTAGAATGACTGTTCACAGTAATCGACCATTCGCAGCGTCAGAGAGAGATTATTTGTAAAAACACTGGAAAATTCCTTTATTTTAATGCTGTTTTGATGTGAAGTGATGCCATATTTTTCTCAGACATTTCAAAGCTCATTCAGTTTGACTAACTTAATCACTCACAAGTCCAGTTTTCTTTACTCTAACCCACCTGAGTATCCCAGAATTCCGTACATCGGCCGGCACTCTGTGAAGCCGGAGGTGGACACTTCACAGTCCTGCCACAGCCCCTTGTAGGTGTAGACGGAGGTCACCACGTCGCCCTGGCGGTCTTTAGTGCTCCAGTTGTTCATCACGGTGGCGGCGATGACCGCGGCCACTCCGATGAGTCCTAATACAAACCCCGCAGTCTGCAGGATGGTGTTAGCCATGTTTCCTCTTTCTCTGGACTGAAGGACAGTGAAGTGGTCAGTGAGAGGCTGTGGGGTAAACTGAAGCTGGTCAGGGCGGGTCTGCAGGTTTAATCTAAGTGTTCGTGTTCACGTGGTCACACACACGTGCACACTTTTTCTCTGAGGCTATTGGTGTTTGTGTGAACAAGTCAGACTGGCACTTAACCCTTTAAGCTTAGGCTGATAGTTCAGGTAGAGGAAATGGGAGAAATGCCCCCTTAGCTTTTTCTCACAGTACCCATAAAAAGGCATTTTGCCCGTTGAACTGTACATTTCTTTCTTTAGTAACGTTGGCGAAACATATTTAGATGAAATATGTATGATTAAGAAAACCAGAACTGCAGCAGATTTTTTTGTCTTTTTAGGAGAGCGAACAAGCCAACATTTATAAAAGTGTTTTTATGCTGGTTGTTCATTGCAGGGGTCAACAACATGTGGCTCTTTTACTGCCCTGTTGCGGCTCCACAGCAGAATTATTAGATTAGATTTGTAGGTAAAAATAAAATAATCCTCCTTTACAGTAAAATAAAGCTCTGCTGATCGTTCAACACAGTTTAACAATAAATGGTCTTAAACTCTGGAGTTAATGTAGAACTGCTAATTCACCCTTTAACCCTGGGGATCAGTGCGCAGACTGCTGGTCACCATAGCAACACAGACAACAATCTGGTCTAGCTAGTAGCTAACGAAACGGCAAAGAGAGAGATTTAAGACGAACATCGATAATTTGGAGATGAATGGACTTATTTGTACTTAAAATAACTCCAGCTGGTTTCCTGATATGTTTAATCTGCAATGAGAAGCTGTCATGAGTCACAATACTGAAGTCAGTCTCTCATTCGCCAGCTTCTTTTTCAAATTCTCCCGTTCCGCCTTAAATGGTGCACCATTTACATTCTGGCACCTTGGGAACCATTTAAGATGGAACAGGAAAATTCGAACAATAAGCTGGAGAATGAGAAGCGACTTCAGCCTCGTACAAAGTTCAACATTGAGAGACATTTTACAAGAAACTGTTCCACTTTTGAGGAAAAAGTTCCTGCCAGAGATGCGAGAAAAGCGGCTATAGCTGAGGTAAAGCTTAAAGCAGAGCAAAGTAAGTCTGCGTTTCGGTTTATTTTTTTAGCCTATACTAGGACATCAGCACATACTGAGACACATTTACAGCCAAGATGGTAAAATGGACATAAATTGTTGTGGCTCCAAAGGTGGTTTGATTTTTGTTGAAAGGACAAAATGGCTCTTCTGGTTTATTGAGTCTTTAGTACAGCATTGGTTGATAGTTAGAAAGCTGGTGTCCATTTTATCTCAGCACAGCTATACAGTGTGAATTATTTTTCGTAGCAGGGGGCTCTCACCCCTCCCCTTTCATCACTCATTGCTCACTGGCAGCTCAACAGAGAGTCACAATGTTTCACACACAGAGCGACAGCAAAGGCCTAGTCCATCTGATTACATAGTTATGGGAAAAATAAGTTATTTGGTTGTATTAATTAAGAATATTCGAGTTGATTTCTATTCTGCTGGTGGAAGAAAGAGGTTAAGAACAATGGGCCTCATTCTTCAATCATTCTTAAGAAGAAATTTCTTCTTCAACCCACTTACGCAGTTTTCAGGACGATTCTGACGTTCACCAGTGTTCTCTTATTTGGGATTTATTCTTAGGCAAGAACAGAATCTACACACACTCAGAGCACAAAGGTGAGAACAGTTCTGCGCTTTAAGAACACGTCATGAATCTGACCTAGACTTTTTCTTAGGACCTTTCTCAAGAACAAATTTAAGAAAACATTTAGGAATGCTGCAGTCTATTTACTGTAAAGCTGAACCATCTCTTTATGAGTTGAATGAATGTATTATTTTTATTTCAAATCATTTCTAGTATTTGCATTTTTCAAAAACTGGTACAAATCAAAGTAGAACACAATGTCAATTTTGTTCATTAATTAAATCATTATTATTATTATATTCATTACATAATGTGTAAAACAAATTAGTGGTATTATGATTATGATTATGATTATGATGATTATTATTGTTATTATTATCATTGTTATTATTGACAACAATAATAATTGAATCACTTAAACATCAGCGTTCAACGTATTTTTAGCATTCAGCGTTTAATTGGTGTAAATGATTTTCTGTGACAGAACAGATGAGGCGATGATGGAACTGTAAATGTTTCCTAATTCTAGCTAATGATCTCTTTATCTAGAATTATAATGCTAATGCTGGCCAGTCATTGAAACTCCAAGACAGAACACATTTGTCCACAAATATTGCACATTGCACTGTCACTTTGTTTAGGCATATATATGTCATATTGCACAACTGTTAACATTTGTTATTGTTTACAGTACATAGTAACTTGTTCATTCACTGGAGGGGACATGCACCACTGCATTGTCATAGTATTTATGCAATTTATTCCTTATTTTTGTACTGCACATTATTTTGAGTGTTTTTAGTATATTTTAATCTTATTTTATTCTATTTTTTATCTTTACTTTCTATTTATGCATCTGTAAATACTGTACAACAATACTTTGCTCCTCCTGTTTTGCTCTTTACTGTGCTTTGTACTGCTGCAATGGAAGAATATCTATCTATCTATTTCTCTATCTATCTATCTATCTATCTATCTATCTATCTATCTATCTATCTATCTATCTAACATCTTTGTGTTGTCAGGTTGTGGCAGTATGTTAAATGGGGCCTATTTTACCATCATTACCATTCCAGATAAAAAAAATCTCTACAATGAACCATTTCACATTAAACATCTCCACGATTGAATTACCCACACACTTAAAAAATTTTGTCATTTTCTGCTTTAATTTTTTTACAGTGAACAGGTGCATCGAGGATGAAGCTGCCGTATGGAAACTGTGCCGCTGTGTTGAATCTCAGTGTTTAGACCGGAACAAAGCTCGGCCTGAGTGAAGTGAACCAACCCCATATACTGAATGAGATTTGACTCAGTGAGTAAACACTTCCAATGAGACTCCAGTTTCAGCCACTGCCCCATCATGCTTTCCCTTCAGCATTTAACGAGAAGACGAGAACTCTGTCCTTTAGCCAAACTACCTAAATCTAATGAACAAGTCAGCAAAACAAGACTGTAAACACAACAATACCTTCTCACAAATTTCAAATCGTAAGAAAATATCTGCTCTTCTTACAAGTGCAAATGTGGGGTGGATTGGAAGTTTAGAATCTGCACTTTCCACAGAATTTCTCTACTTGATTCAATGAGACTGAATGTAAGAGGCATCTTTACGGCATTAACACCATATGGAACTTACAGGGTTAAGTAAGGGTTAAGTGGTGAGATCAGACTAGCAGTGTGACACACTTAAACATAAAAATCATTTTATTTAAACCCCAACTTCAGTTCCTCAAGCTCGCAATTACACAGCATGCATGATAGTATTATAGTACAAAACCTAATCCTAACTCTCACCCTGGCCCTAATCCTAACCCTAACTTTAACCTCAACCCAAAACCTAATCCTAACTCTCACCCTGGCCCTAATCCTAACCCTAAATTTAACCTCAACCCAAAACCTAATCCTAAATCTCACCCTGGCCCTAATCCTAACCCTAACCCTAACCTTAACTTCAACCCAAAACCTAATCCTAACCCTCACCCTGACCCTAATCCTAAACCCAACCTTAACCTCAACCCAAAACCTAACCCTAACCCTCACCCTGGCCCTAATCCTAACTCTAACCCTAACCTTAACCTCAACCCAAAACCTAATCCTAACCCTCACCCTGGCCCTAATCCTAACCATAACCATAACCTCAACCCAAAACCTAATCCTAACCCTCACCCTGGCCCTAATCCTAACTCTAACCCTAACCTTAACCTCAACCCAAAACCTAATCCTAACCCTCACCCTGGCCCTAATCCTAACTCTAACCCTAACCTTAACCTCAACCCAAAACCTAACCCTAACCCTCACCCTGGCCCTAATCCTAACTCTAACCCTAACCTTAACCTCAACCCAAAACCTAATCCTAACCCTCACCCTGGCCCTAATCCTAACCATAACCATAACCTCAACCCAAAACCTAATCCTAACCCTAACCATAACCTCAACCCAAAACCTAATCCTAACCCTAACCATAACCTCAACCCAAAACCTAATCCTAACCCTAAACCTAACTCTCATATGTTTTTGACATGTTACTGAGAGTCTGTTGAGTGTTTCACCTTATTACTCAGTAACTACAATGACTTCAGTGCAAACTGGCTGAGTTATTCTTAGGTTATAGAAGTGTGTTATAAAACTTTGGGCCTGCCGATGAACCATTTAGGGGTTAATGAAAGAGAAGAAACAGTCAGGCTGTAATCACATGCTTGTTCTTATCACGAGATCAACAAAAGGGTGAAACAGGGACTCGCCGGTTCCTTATCGGCCGTCTGACGTTGCGAGAACACAACATGCATTTTCTAAAATGGCCAATCAGAGAGCTGAGAATGAAAACACAGAAACCAACTGACTGCTTCTCCTTCAGCTCCAAATCCCCTCATTAATTTCTCATCAGCATGACACACTCTGAGGACATACATCACTCTCAGGAGTCAACATCACACACATCACTGGTCTTATCAACTCCGTAGATCATTAGAAGGTTTTATTTGAATATTTGAATGCATGCTGTCCATTATGTACAAGCTGTTCATTGTACAGGAGATATTTCTGAGGAGATTAGATAGACGGTAATCCACTTATATAAAGAGCATAAAGAAGGAGAAAGTCAAAGGAAAAGAAGGAGGAGTTTCTAAAACTGGAGTTCAAATAATGATTAGAAGATGTCGGAGAAAATGGGGCTCCTAACAACCACCTGGAAGACCTGGTACACACTAAAACTGCCCCCATCAGATAAACAGCACTTAAAGCTTTCATCTTTGAGAGAGAGGAGAAAATCAAGCTGCTTCAGATCTGAAGACATCCACAGGTGTTTCTGTCCATCCTTCCACTGTGAGAAGACGACTCGACTGCTTTGACAGGAAGGTTAATAAAAGAAG